CTGAGTTCCTGCTTGAGGTCTCGTGCAATCTTCAGGCAAATTGGCTTCCCTGTCGCATCTGGATCAACGGAGGAGAGGGTTCCCCAAGGGGTGTCACCCTCTCTAAGCAATCAGATGCCAATGGCTGCTCATGGGGGGAGGAGTCTCCAAGGTCAGTGCATCTCTGCTCTGGTCTTGTCCCAAGGACATGCCTGATGGCACACTGCCCAAAGGAATCCTATGCGGGGAGGGTCTTCACTGAGTGGCACTCCCTTTTCCAAATAGCTCCAGAAATGCAAGTGCCCCCCTTGAGACCAGGGGAAAAATGAGTAAGACAATGGCTTCTTGGTTTTTGTGATCTCTTGTGTCATTTCAGTCGTGTGGCTGTTAAAGTGAATCGAGTCTCTGCTTTTCTTTTTCTTTTTTTTCAGGGACAAGGGCAGAAGGAAGAGCCTGGAATCCTGGAGCCCATAAAACCCAGTTCCAGGAGGCGAGGAACTCCTGGGATGCAGTAGGAGCATCCTTAGGAGGCAAGAAGCAGCCAGGCTCCTCAGGACTCGGAAGAAGAAGGGGAGAGGCTCCCAGCAGGACCCAGCAGACCGGCTGGAGGCAGAGCTCCACAGCCACCTGCAGGATGGGAGCTGGCTTGCAGGGCCTGGCTCTGCCAGAGCTTGGAGAGCATCCGAGAAAGGTCTCAGCCCAGATGCTGATTGCCAGTTAAGTCTACCTCCCGCAAGGGCAGGTGTACTTGGCCAGGAGACCATGCCTTCCCAGCTCCTAAGGATGAATTTTCCATCCTTGAATTACTTTTCCTTTCTTTTTTTTTTTTTTAATAAGTAAGATCCACCCTGTGTGTGGAGCCCAACATGGGTCTTGAATTCCCAATCCTGACATCAAGACCCGAGCTGAGATCAAGAGTCGAACGCTTAACCCACTGAGCCACCCAGGCGCCCCTCCAAGGTTGACTTTCTGGTGTCAGCTGGAGGGGAGAACAAATTCTTATGTACAATTCCTCCAGTCACTCCTAATAGAAAGCTTTTCTGGGTTCTGTTTTTGCAGCCTTTGCCCTGCCCAGTTTTGGGCACTCTAGAGTCCTTTATAACCCCTGGTGTCACAGCATGGGGTGGAGGGTGGTCCTGGGCTGACCTAGGCTCTCAGCAGCCCTGGCCAGCAGGGGGGAGGGGATGGAACCGAGCTGGTGGGCCCGGGAGTGGGAGGTCAGGAGAAGAGCAGGCCAGAGCCCACGTCCTGGGGGTCCTGGGGAAGGAAGAGGGTCAGCGGAGAGGAGCAGAATAAATCAAAACCCTGTATTTACAGGTACAGTGGGAAAACCAGATGAGCAGTAGGACCACCAAAGGGAGCCAAAGGGAGTGATGGCTCCTGGGATGGGGTCCTGGTTGTCATGGCAACTAAACTGATAGCAGTTGAAACTTTCAAAGAAATAAATGATTCCTTTAGGGTGGTTGGGTTCCTTTTGCCTGTTACAGAGCAAGCCTGAGCTGTGATAGGAGAAAGAGAGAGACGTGATTCAGCTGGGCAGGGCCAGAATGGAAGAGACGGTCACAAAAGGATGCAAGATCACTTAATACACAGCCGTCCTGGCTGCTGCTAAGCCAGGGGGAGTGGGGAGACCTTTTATCCCACAGATTTGCTGGGAGGAGAAATCTGCACCAAAGGGACAGCCACCTCTAAGCGCCCCCGCCCCTTCCCTCCCAGAACAGCATCAGGAGTCGTCTTTATGGTCACATTTGTCCCCTTCCCACAAAATGAAAGGAATTCTATTTCACTACCTGCTTTTCTTAAATCAGGGTTCAAGCTGCCTCCACCCTTTCCTGGATCGTAGGCAAAATTAGACCATATGGAGGTTCACCCTGCTGTAGAAACACTAGGGAAGACTCTCTCTACATTGTCTGTTCATGGGGCTGTGACACCAGGTACCAAAGTGGAGGCTCCCACACACCCTTGCCCAAGTGCCTGGTTGGGGAGCACGGCAGGGCCCCAAGGTGCTGTCACTCTTGAGTAAAGGACAGGTGGGGCTAGGTAGGGGGAGATAGGTAGGGGCCTGCGGAATCAGATTCACAGGACTCCCCAAAAATGTGGAGGTGCAAGGAAACAGATAAAGAAACAAACCAAAAAAAAAAAAAAAAAAAGAAACAAACCAGACCATCCTGTCCCAGATGTCAGAGGTGGGGTCTTGTTAGAAACGCTACCTGTGACCAAAAAAGAATTCCAGGACCCTAAAAAGGAAGTAAGCCATGGAAGGTGTTATCACTAGTCCTTACTCAATGGATATCTCAAGTGATACCAACAGAGATGTTAAAAGGATTTAGGTTCCCTGGTGGGCTTTCAATAAAAGACCAACCCTACAAGCTCCCAGTGGCAACCCTGTGGGGACTCCTCTCACTCCTGAGAGCTTCCTCTGTATCCTTGCTTAATAAACTGTTGGGCTACAACATGTATAGAGACAAAGGTAGAGGGAGAAGCAGGCTCCCTGCGGGGAGCCCGATGTAGAACCCAATCCCAGCACCCTGGGAAGGCAGATGCTCAACCCCTGAGCCACCCAGGCATCCCTATAAACTTCTGTTGCTGGACTCACTCTCCTTTGTCCTAGAGATTCGTCCGACACAATTCATTCTTCACACTCATTCACAATTGACTCTGTGAGACAAGAACCTCCCTCTCCGGTTTCAACTCCTTGTGTCAGGCAGCCTGGAGCCACCACCACGAAACCCTCCCAGCTTGGGCAATTTAGGGATTTATTTCCCACTGCTCTGGAGGTTGGAAGTCCCGGATGGAGGTGCCAGCTGATTCCCTTTGGTTGAGAGCTGGCTCCTGGCTTGGAGGGGACCCCTTGAGGCCTCCTCACCTGCTTCCCCCTCTCTGGGCACGGAGCAGAGCCATCTCAGGGGTCTGTCTTCTTTTTATAAGGACACTCATCCTATCTCAGTAAGGACTCACACTTGTGACCTCATTTAACTGTTAACCCCTTCTTAGATGCCCTGTCTCCAAGTACCGCACATGGGTGGGTTAAGGCTTCCATATACGAATTTGATTGGGGACAGAGTTCAGTCCACACTCCTCCATTGACCCTAAGTGAGAATGCAAAAACCAGAAACACAGATCAGGACAACTTAGTAGCAGCGGTAACTTTTTATTTTTGTGTATTGTGGTAAGAAAAGTTTCCCTGGTTAATAGCAATTAGCATTATTATAATGATAAAAAAATCATTAATTTAAAAATATTGACCCTAGAAGTGTAGTTATTTTGAGTTAGTACATTTAAGTCTTAGACTAATGACCTCAGAAGAGGAGCGCTTCCCAGAACCTATTTTTTCTTTTTTAAAAATGATAAATACAGAGGACAGAGAATGGAGAGCCAGCATATGGATAATAAATGTTCTTGAAAGAGAGCCCAGTACAAAAGGATCAGAAAGATTTAATGCAGCTGCTGAAAAAAGAACTGGATATGTATATTGAAAGGGCTCAGAGTGCCAGGCTAGATCAACGATAAGAGTATTACATTGAATCCCGTCCTGTTGAAAATATAGAACTACAGAGAGAAAGAAAAAACCTGCTATGTGTCCACACACTAACAAAGGAACAGAATTCTGACTGAATGCAGACTCACACTTGTAGGATGAAAATGCCCAAACACAGTGAACCAAGGCCTAAATCGATTTTGAAGGTGAGAAGTTGTGATAAAATACAAATTGTAGCCCAACCGTGAATTTATGAAAACAGAGAAGACATTCAGAGCTGTGCAAAGGCTCAGAAAACATGCCACCTGCTTACTCGTCTTCTAAAATGACTTAAAGAGGGGCACCTGGGTGGCTCAGTGGTTGAGCGTCTGCCTTTGGCTCAGGTCATGATCCTGGGGTCCTGGGATCGAGTCCCGAATCAGGCTCCCCTTGGGGAGCCTGCTTCTCCCTCTGCCTGTGTCTCTGCCTCTCTCTCTGTGTCTCTCATGAATAAATAAAGAAAACCTTAAAAAAAAATACTGCTCTCATGAATAAGGGTCATTCGACTTTTACCTTTTGCTTTTCAATTTTGGCAGATATTAAAAGTAATAAATAATTTACGTAATGTAAAAGTAACAAAATAATGACTTATATCAGTGAATAAAATTAATTAATACAAAGTAAAAGCAAACATCTGATACTGATAATAAATAGCCATATTATGAAACAGGGAATTCCTCCCTGTCTGAATTAAGAAGCTGTCACATAAAAAGTGACAAACATGTTGGCTTAAATATATGATTCATTAAAGATATTTTATTTTTGCCTCTAACGTTTTTTTTTTAAGATTTATTTATTTATTAGGGAGAGAGAGAGTGAGAGAGCATGAGCAGGGGGAGGAGCAGAAGCTCCAGCAGACCCAACACGGGGATTGGGGGTTGTGGGGCTCCATCCCAGGACCCAGAGATCATGACCTGAGCCGAAATCAAGAGTCAGATGCGCAATGCACTGAGCCACTGGACATCCCTGGCTCTGACATTTAAAACATAAGTTAAAAATACATTTGGAAAACTTGCAGGTGAATATTAGAATTAAAAGCTGGGACAAATGCCTTCCAGAATAGAAGGCAGAAACAAAGAAAATGTACACAAAAATCATTCCCAAGAGAGGGAATAAAATAGTACGGCAGAAATAAGGCCAAGTATGAACAACACATGCAATGACTGACTTCTTAGAAAACTATAAAAGAAAAAAAAAAGAAGAAGAAAACTCTAAAAGTGGACCCGATTCAAGAGCAAGAGAGCATCTGAAGAGTTTAATGGTCCTGAAAAAGTGGAGACTGGCCAATATCACCTCTCCAAAGAACGGTAGGCTATATAATTTTATGAGTTGGTTCATTTCAAACATTTTCAACTATTCCAGAGCATATAAAAAGGAAAGTTTTAGGCATTCTTGTGCCAAGCTGAGGTAGCCCTACATCTGATCATGACAGTACACAGAAGCTTGTGGACCAACTTCATTCATAAATACAGGTGAAAACTTCTTTTTTTTTTTTAAAAAAAAACATTTTATTTATTTATTCATGAGACAGAGAGAGGGAGAGGCAGGCTCCCTGCAAGGAGCCTGATGGGGCCTTGATCCTGGACTCTGGGATGACGCCCTGAGCTGAAGGCAGATGCTCAACCACTGAGCCAGGTGCAAAATTCCGAAAAATCCTCCCTGTGCTAATGCTAAATTGAGGTGGAATGGCCTTACTTTTTCTCGGCCTCCACACAATAACATACCAGACTCACTGGCAGTCTAAAGATGGCCAGAGTCACATCATCTGGATCCTGAAGTTGGAGTGCCTCAGACTTTCTAGAACAAAGAGTCTGGAAACTGTTCTCAATTGGCTTTGGAAAAAATAAACACTTCTTTGAGGTTCTTTTCAAATTCTGCCTCCAAGTCCAATCCTATCTGACCCAAGTCAGAAGCCTGAAAGAAAAAAAGCAAACAAATAGATGTCTAAGGACAAAGAATTAGGACCATCAAATCTTGCATTTTTGCCTTTTTTTTTTTTTGAGCCCTGCCCTCCCTGTCCCGAAAGCTATGCTTCCCCATCTGCCAGGCAGAGTGCCCAGGGTTAGTGGGGGAGATGCTGCTGCCACAGTATCGAAATGGATGAGCCTCTGCCCGATTCCTAACTTGGACCTGACAGGTGGTCTGGACTGGGGAGCTGATTTCGATCACTGCAAAGCCCGAGCTTGGGGTAAAATAGATAGAGATAAAGCATTTCTTGAAAGCCCACCCTCTGAAGGAAAGATTCCATTCTCCAAGGCTGAGCCTGGGCGAGGAGTGGAGGGGCTCCCTCCCTGGGTGGACTCTTTCTCCCTCCAGCTCCACTCCCAGACACCAGTTTATAATTTGTGGCTCGTGAACATGTCAACCAGTGCCATGGAGGAAGAGAAGGAGGCTGCCTGGGTGGAGACGGAAGTCTTCCTTGGTTACCTCCCAAGAAACATCTGTACAAAATGGTAGTATAAATCGGCATAGACGCAAGAGGCTAAAGTTAACAACGCATTGGTTTGCAAGATAGGTCAACTAGTTGTCGCATCTCGCTACCTCCAAAGGACAAAGCCAACACTATCGGAGGGCAATTCTGAGGTTTGGTTCCACTGGGAAATTTGGTGAAAAAAATCCAAGCATGAGCATCCTGGGAGTTGAAATTATTTCATGAAGTTTAACTCCTTTATTTATTTCTGTATTTCTGAGACACAGAACAATGTAACCATAAACTACCTTTCCTCCCCGTTTGAACAAGGACGATGGATGAAATCGACTGTTCTCAGTGGGACCATCCCACCTGTCCTAGGATTGGGGTTTTGGATTGTTTCCGTGGCCCTGCTTACAAGGATTCTTCTCTGCTGTTCTTTCTAAATTCCTCCTCCCAGGCCACTTTCTTCTGCTTCCGCTACTGCTTTTGAGCTCTCTCCAGGACAAGATTGGTGTGACTCTTGCAAAGTTCATCTGTCCCAGGACTTAGGGAAAAGTGGAAAGGGCATGCAAAGGAAACAGGAGACATCCTTTACCTTGTAAAATGTTTTATGATTGCGAAAGATCAGCCGCATGTCCCGAACAAACCACGCCACTGTGTACACTTGCTCAGTCAACCTTTCCTTAACCAAGTCCAGCCACATGGCTTCCTTAAAGGGCTCTCCATAATCTCGAATCTAGGGACAAAGCCACCAAAAGGGGGATGTTAGCACAGCCACTGTTACTGGAATTGGATCCAACTGATATAACCAGGCAAGGGAGGATCCAAGCATTGGCCTGTGTATGGCAGGCCCTGCTCGAAGCACCGCCACCGTGTTAGCATCTGATCCTACAACAGCCCTAGGAGATAGGTACGATAATTACCCTCATTTTCTAGGTGAGGAAACCAAGGGATGGAGAAGTTCAGTAACCTACCCAGGATTTCACAGCTAAAAAGTGGTAGAGGTGGGATTTGAAGCCTCCCGAGACGGTGCCCTAAACCCTCTGCTGGCTGTGAGAAAGTATTCCCACCTAAGAAGGTGAAACTGAGGCACACAGGAAGCGGACCAAGTTGCTCAATGTCCCAGAACTAGGATGCGAGGGGTGGAGTTTGAACCCGGAGGCCTCCTCCAGAGTCTGCAACTCCACCTCCTCTTGGCAAACAGCAGTGCCCTCAGGAGTCACACTCCAAAATTCCAGAATGACTTTTGCATAGAAGAGATGCCCAGAGGACAAGAATCGTAAAATATCACTTACGTTATGTGGGGTTTCTGCAAAAAAGGAGCTTTGTGGATGACAGTAGGCCTTCAACAGGAGGAACTCACACTTCTGTAAAACGTGAAGAGAGCTTTGAAGGGAAACGCAGCTCCGAGAAAGTGGGGTACGTCGAACTCTGTTTGGATTCTGGGCACCAAATCACCTTCCCTAAATCCAGACACTGCAGGCTCCCTCAGGCACCCATGGGCACCCTTCCCCTCACCCTCTGTTTGGTCTTCTCACGTGTCCGGGGTAATGAGAAGGGTTGGGGTTGGCACCCAACTCACCAGCTGCTCCTCGGGCTGCATCTGCCTCTCAAGGGCCTCAGACTCCCCATGACACTGCTGCCTTCGCAAAGACTCTATCCTGCAGAAGGTGCAGCTCCACGGGCTCCTGAGAGGTCAGGCGTAAGTGAGCAAGGGCAAGGCCCCTGGAAACAGCCCCTGTTCCTAGAGCTGCCACCATCCTTCTTTCAAGCATGGCTGAAGGACTCAGCTGGGAGATGAAGGGGACACCTCCCAGAGTCTCCAACACCCCCATGTAGGGCCTGAGCCCGTGACCTTCCTCCCATTGAGGGTGGCAACAGGGCCCTCCATGTGTGGAGGGTGATGTCAGGGTGAGTGGTGGACTCTCCTTTCCCCACTTGAGCTGCTGGGAGCACGAGGAGGCCAGCCAATCACACCCAAGTGTCAAAACTAGGCCTTAACCCCCGGGAACCCGGGCCTCTATCAGTCTGTTGAGCTTGTGGCAAGATGCATGAACCAGGCCTTGTTTCCTGCCTTTTCTGAAAAAGTGCTGAACACAAACAGCTGGTGTTTCGCATCCTCCATCCCCATGGACAGCTGTCATCCCCTCGGAAAGGACACCTCCCAGGGGCAGTGGCAAAGTGGAGTCACGGTGGTTCAGGCACAGACTCAGAGAACCAGAGGCTGTCACTGATACCGGACGGGACACAGCTGCTGCCCCCTCCAGCTGCTCAGGGTCACACCTGGGTGGCGATGCTCACGGGTCCTGCTCTTCCTCCTGAAGATGGGCGACCAGAGGCAGGGCCTGGGCGGAGTGTGTGTGCAAAAGGCAGGGCTGCGTCTCACTAACCTCTCTGCCTCTGCAGGCGGGATGTGACAGTCCTCATGAAAGGCTCTTGGACAAGTGTCACAGCAGAGCAGTGGTCCCCCTCTACAGCACACCTCACATTCCTTGAAGTTTTCCCACTGGAAGGGGAGATAATGCAGCAGTGCTGGGGTCAGTGAGACTCACTGCACACTGACACCAAGGGGCTTTGGCACACACCACCCTTGTGTGATCCAGAGTGGATGTGTTCAACACGCCTGCCTGCGGTGCTCCCGGAGAGTGCTGCTGGAGGACGAGCCTGACCTCTCCAATCACAAAAGAGCGAAGGGCAAGAATCAGCAAGCCACCACTTGAATCACACCTTGTCAGAGCTGGAAGGGACCGGAAGGCCACGTGAGCCCTTTCTACACCAAGTGTGGCCTGAGGACCAGCTGCATCAGCTTTACCTGGGACCTGGTTAGAGATGCAGAGCTACTGAATTGAAAACTGTTTTAACAAGGTCCCCCAGAACAACAACAACAACAACAACAACAAAACCAAACCAAACCCCAGCATCCCAGGTGGTTTGTAAGTGCGTGAAATTTGAAAAAGACACAGCTTTAGGCAACCTCCTCATTTTACAAGGCTGGAAAGACAGGATGTTTTGTTTTGTTTTTTCCTGCAGGGTCAGCACAACTTAGCACCCGAATGAGACTGGCACCCAGGCTGCCTGTGCCTGGGTTCAGAGGTGTTTCTGTCCACTATGTGCCATCCCAGGCAAGCATGCTGGGCAGACCCGGCGCAGTTCCTGACATTACGGCTGACAAACAGAAACATATAGAGAGCTGCTGTATATATGGGTTGTTTTGTGGGCCTGAGAGATCATGGTCTTTCTCATGCCCTTAAAATGTGATCCAGTAAATTCTACAAGCGATCTTTACTGCTGGATAAAGACCTACAGGCAGGAGCCCCTGGTTCCACTCCTGACCCTGCAAGATAGACGGTAGGGCTTCACACATAAGGAAATATTTTCTCTGCACTAAATGTAGGAGTCAGGAAGAGGTATCCTTCTGTCTGTGCCTCTGGGTGGAGAAAAGGTGGGAAACAGACCATCAGGAGCTCGAGCAAAGGATTGGAGGAACTGAGGATCAGTCACATCTAAGGAGAGAAATCCTGCTACTACCCTCGACTGTCCACAACACGAGCACAAGGACCTGGGTGAGGGCAGAAGGAATGGAAATATTTTGTCTATTCTAACTAGGCAGTTAGAAGGGCACCTGGTGGTTTAGCTGGTGAAACATCTGCCTTCAGCTCAGGTGATGATCTCGGCGTCCTGGGATTGAGTCCCCCATGTTGGGCTCCCTGCTCAGTGGGGAGTCTGCTTCTCCCTCTTTCTTTTGGCCCCTTCCCACTCATCCCCCCCACCCATAAATAAATATAATCTTAAAAAAAAAAACCTAGCCATGCAGCCAGAGTACAAATTCCCCTTGATTTGGGGATGGGTTCATCTCTGTGTTAATTAGGGAAGCTTCTAAAGCAAATTCCCCTTCTAACAGGGGCCCCAGGACTCCATAAAGAGGGCTCCCCACCAATCCTGAAGTTCAGGTGATCTTTCTGGCCTTCCCATCCTGAACTTCCTGGTCTGCCTTTCTTTGTCCCTGGAATTCACACTCTATGGCCATTGCCCTCTGACTAGACACCTGGCCTGTCCAGGTCCAGGGTGAAGATGCCAGTTCCCCCAGTAGCCCAGACCTGCTCACTCCTCCCAGCTGAGACCCTCTGGATTCAGAGCCCCAGTCTCTCTAGTGTGAGCACTGATAGTTTGTTTTTTTCTCCTTTTCTATAATGCAAGTGCCTGACTGAAGCCTCGATTGCTCCAGCACCCCTGATAAACACAGCTATCTTGCTATTTCTCAAGGAAACACATTGCCAGCCACACAACTAGGTAAAGAGCCAGGCCATCGATCTCCGCTGAGGTTCTTTTGTTTTATAGATCTTGGTTGATTTCAAGACTTTTTGGGCCACTTGTTTTTTTCTCTTCCCTCACTTTAACCATCAAAACTCTAGCTCTTATGTTTTAAATTCACCAATAAAGAGTGAACCTGGAAAACCCTAGATCCCCACCCTCAACCCCAATAAAGGCAGAGCCTCATGCCTATACTCATTCTCTCTCTCTACCTCTATAACTCTCCATCCATCTCTCTGCAACTTCATGATACGGCTCCAGATGTGCTTTGTAATTTCCAGGTCCTATAAATAATATAATAAATCTTCTTTTTCCTTTTAGTTTCCTGACAGTTACTGCTGGAGGGCATCCTATAATTATAATAAGAGCCACGAGGACCAGTCCAACCACAACATTGGTTATTGATAGGCTGTAACCAGCACAAAACACCCCCTTCCCTAGGCAGAGACAGAGAGAAAGGACTTAAAACTCCACAGTCTCGTTCTGACTCTGGCTATTATGTTTGATGGCCGACAGTTTCAAGATCCACTCCTCCCTCTTCCCCTTTTGCCACATCTGGGCAACTCAGTAAGGAAGTTCATGGGCTCCCCATCTTGGTCCCAGTGAGATGTTCAAACCAGTCAATCTCTGCCCCAGCAAGGAAATTCTCAGGCTGGCCCCACTCATAGCCATAATAACACCTTGGACTAATAGTACCCCCTCGCCACTCAGGCCATTTTCAGACCAGCTTGGGAGCCTGCCCTGCTCTTCCTAGAAAGCCTCAGTATGTGAGTAATAAATTTCATACTCTCTTGTGTATGTGTTGCATCATCAGTTTTGATATCTAAACCCAGTTTTTGGTGGAGACCTGAACTACTTCCTCTCCATCAACCAGAAGACAATTGGCTCAACAGGCAAACAGCTTCAGTGACCAGGGTCTGTCTTCTCTTGCTCCGGCTTTCTAACTGGTTCTGCTAACTGGCTTATGCTTTGAGTGGTGTTGCTACCTGCTGGGCCGTGGTACTGAGGTTTCCGTCATCCACTATGAGATACCATCATTCTTCTCAAGCTTAAGAATAGACCAAACTGGACATTCAAGGAGAAAAACAGTAGAAATAATCACTCCTGCTTGAAGCAGATCTCGTACAATGAGTTTTGATGCTTGAAATTTATATTGGATTCTACTAACTATTTTAACAAGGGGAATGTCCATGGGTTCCATTTGGTAAGATTGATTGCTAAGTGTTGAAAACTACATTTTATTCGACTTCCTTATTCATTGGGTAAGAGCATCCATGCCCATGATGTCATATCTTAGAGCAATGAGTATTATGACCATGAAGCATTTAGGCAAGGCAACAATTTTGATGGTTAAAGTGAGGTATATCTGTTTGTTCTCTATTTTATCTTTGGTAGCACCCCTAAGAGTATAGAGGGTAACTTGTTTAAATTTAGTGGGATATAATTACTTGCAAAGGAGCTCCACCCATTAAAGTCCTATATATAGTATTATTGAAATTATTGGCACCAATCACTTGGAAACTGGCAAGTGTTTTGCTGTCCCAGATTTGGCTAGGAAGTTCTACTTTGTGTTTAGTTCAACAGCATTTCAGCTGTAGCTTGCCTTCACCTCTGTAGGGATACAGCACGCCTTTACATGGTTGCCTGCAGTACCGCAACAGCTTTACCATCACATATGACCTCTGCAGGCAAGATCTGAACTGCATCCAACTTTCCCCAGGAGCACAAGTATGACACCACACTGGTGACATCCTTTTCGTTTGGCATACTCATTCAGAATATACAATAAGTCACAAAGAAAGGCCATTGCCTACCACAGTTCAAGGGCCCATCAGCTCAGCAAATTTGTGGGCATTAATGGTTATTTGAAGGCTGCTCCATCCCTGACACTGTCAAGAAACAATTATTGGCCTTCTCAATAACCATGACTATTGCCCAACACATAGACAAAGATAGATACCAGTGGAGACTGGGTATATTGCAGAGCAACAGTGATGTATTAGATAATGTGGCTGAAGAAAAAGCCTACATTTGTCCATTTGTAGTCATTGCAAATTATCTCATTTTTTCCAGTGTGGCTGCTGATAGGCAGGACTGAAAGGTCAGGTGTAGTGTGCTTCTGACTATAACGCACTGACATGTGGTATTACGAGTGAGAAGGAACTATAATATTGGGGCCACTAATTAATGCTCTGAATTTAAAACACCTTTGTTGTTTTTATTACAAAAGTAATAAATGGTCATTATAAAAATTCTACCTGTAGGGGGGAGGGGCAAGATGGCGGAAGAGCAGGGTCCCCAAATCGCCTGTCCCCACCAAGTTACCTAGATAACCTTCAAACCATCCTGAAAATCTACGAATTCAGCCTGAGATGTAAAGAGAGACCAGCTGGAACGCTACAGTGAGAAGAGTTCGCGCTTCTATCAAGGTAGGAAGACGGGGAAAAAGAAATAAAGGAACAAAAGGCCTCCGAGGGGGAGGGGCCCCGCGAGGAGCCGGGCTGAGGCCGGGGCGAGTGTCCCCAGGACAGGAGAGCCCCGTCCCGGAGGAGCAGGAGCTGCACCAACCTTCCCGGGCGGCGGAAAGGGGCTCGCAGGGAGTTGGAGCAGGACCCAGGAGGGCGGGGATGCCCTCGGGCTCCCGGGGACACTAACAGACACCTGCGAGCGCAGGAGAGTGCGCCGAGCTCCCTAAGGGCTGCAGCGCGCACGGCGGGACCCGGAGCAGCTCGGAGGGGCTCGGGCGGCGGCTCCGGGAGGGAGCTGCAGGGCGGGAGCGCGAATCCCACAGCGCAGGCCCCGGAGCACAGGGCGCCGGGACACAGCCCAGGATCCGGCCTCCCCCGGGACAGGCAGAGGCCGGGAGGGCCCAGGACAGCGAGGACGCTCCTGCCCCGAGCTGAGCAGATCAGCGGCCCCGCCCCGGAGCCTCCAGGCCCTGCGGACGGAGAACCGAGAGCCCCGAGCCCCGTAGTTCCTGCGGAGGCTGAATCCAGGCTTCCAGAGTTGCCATAGCAACTGCGGCTGTTCCTCCTGGGGCCCCACGGGGTAAACAACCCCCGCTGAGCCCTGCAGCAGGCAGGGGCAGAGCAGCTCCCCCAAGTGCTGACACCTGAAAATCAGCACAGCAGGCCCCTCCCCCAGAAGACCAGCTGGACGGACCAGTGATACTCCCCCGTGTTCCAATACAACTTGTTTTTGGCCACTCTGCACTGAGCAAAATGACTAGAAGGAAAACCTCACTTCAAAAGAAAGAATCAGAAACAGCCCTCTTTCCCACAGAGTTACAAAATCTGGATTACACTTCAATGTCAGAAAGCCAATTCAGAAGCACCATTATACAGCTACTGGTGGCTCTAGAAAAAAGCATTAAGGCCTCACGAGACTTCATGACTGCAGAATTTAGATCCAATCAGGCAGAAATTAAAAATCAATTGAATGAGATGCAATCCAAACTAGAAGTCCTAACGACGAGGGTTAACGAGGTGGAAGAACGAGTGAGTGACATAGAAGACAAGTTAATGGCAAAGAGGGAAACTGAGGAAAAAAGAGATAAACAATTAAAGAACCATGAAGACAGATTAAGGGAAATGAACGACACTCTAAGGAAGAAAAACCTACGTTTAATTGGGGTTCCCGAGGGCGCCGAAAGGGACAGAGGGCCAGAATATGTATTTGAACAAATCCTAGCTGAAAACTTTCCCAATCTGGGAAGGGAAACAGGCATTCAGATCCAGGAAATAGAGAGATCCCCCCCTAAAATCAATAAAAACCGTTCAACACCTCGACATCTAATAGTGAAGCTTGCAAATTCCAAAGATAAAGAGAAGATCCTTAAAGCAGCAAGAGACAAGAAGTCCCTGACTTTCATGGGGAGGAATATTAGGGTAACAGCAGACCTCTCCACAGAGACCTGGCAGGCCAGAAAGGGCTGGCAGGATATATTCAGGGTCCTAAATGAGAAGAACATGCAACCAAGAATACTTTATCCAGCAAGGCTCTCATTCAAAATGGAAGGAGAGATAAAGAGCTTCCAAGACAGGCAGGAACTGAAAGAATATGTGACCTCCAAACCAGCTCTGCAAGAAATTTTAAGGGGGACTCTTAAAACTCCCCTTTAAGAAGAAGTTCAAGTAACTCTGAACGTGAATGGGCTTAATGACCCCATCAAAAGGCGCAGAGTTTCAGACTGGATAAAAAAACAGGACCCATCTATTTGCTGTCTACAAGAGACTCATTTTAGACAGAAGGACACCTACAACCTGAAAATAAAAGGTTGGAGAACCATTTACCATTCAAATGGTTCTCAAAATATACCCTAAAAACTACAGAACACTTCTGAAAGAAATTGAGGAAGACACAAAGAGATGGAAAAATATTCCATGCTCATGGATTGGCAGAATTAATATTGTGAAAATGTCAATGTTACCCAGGGCAATTTACACGTATAATGCAATCCCTATCAAAATACCATGGACTTTCTTCAGAGACTTAGAACAAATTATTTTAAGATTTGTGTGGAATCAGAAAAGACCCCAAACAGCCAGGGGAATTTTAAAAAAAGAAAACCATATCTGGGGGCATCACAATGCCAGATTTCAGGTTGTACTACAAAGCTGTGTTCATCAAGACAGTGTGGTACTGGCACAAAAACAGACACATAGATCAATGGAACAGAACAGAGAACCCAGAAGTGGACCCTGAACTTTATGCTCAACTAATATACGATAAAGGAGGAAAGACGATCCACTAGAAGAAAGACAGTCTCTTCAATAAATGGTGCTGGGAAAATTGGACATCCACATGCAGAAGAATGAAACTGGACCACTCTCATGCACCATACACAAAGATAAACTCAAAATGGATGAAAGATCTAAATGTGAGACAAGATTCCATCAAAATCCCAGAGAAGAACTCAGGCAACACCCTTTTTTAACTTGGCCACAGTAACCGGAGAAGGACAAACAGTGTATGTTCTCATTCATTTGGGGAATATGAATGATAGCGAAAGGGAATATAAGGGAAGGGAGAAGAAATGTGTGAGAAATATCAGAAAGGGAGACAGAACATAAAGACTTCTAACTCTGGGAAACGAACTAGGGGTGGTGGAGGGGGAGGAGGGTGGGGGGTGGGGGTGAATGGGTGACGGGCACTGAGGGGTACACTTGACGGGATGAGCACTGGGTGTTATTCTGTATGTTGGTAAATTGAACACCAATAAAAATTAATTTATAAAAAAAAAAATTCTACCTGTACATAAATGTATAATATGGAAGACAAATGTCCCGTAGAATCCTATCCCAAAATAACCAATTCATTCAGATATATTTTCAGTCATATGCCTACATCATCACATAAACAAAATTGGGTTCCTTCCACTACTTCTAGCTTAAGATTCTGAAAGCTTTCTTGACCTTAGAACCTTTGGGTGGTTTTCCACTGACTGAGGAGAAGTCTATACCCACGCTTTTTTTTTTTTTTAAGAAAACATCATTCAGTAGATGTATCAGTTTATTTTGTAATAATGATGGGCATTTGTAGTCTTCCCTAATTTTTGCCGATTACAAGGAGCATCCCTGAACACAATAAAGTATTTCAAATCAGCATGGAAAAGATGTTTTATATAATAAACAGCTTTGGGGGACCCCTTATCCTTTTAAACTTTGAATGAATTCAGCCAAGGGTCAGGCAAGCCTCCAGGGTGATATGGGAAAGGCCTCTGCCAAAGGTTCAGATCTAATGGGAAGTTCTTTTTTTTTTTTTTTTTTCTAATGGGAAGTTCTTGAAGGAGATTTGTATCTGGAGGGCATATTTAAGCAAGTGAAGAAGGCTGAGGAGAGGCAGCTGATGCAGACAAGGATGACTGCCATTTTCACCTGGAGGGATGCTCTGCAGAGACAAAGCTCAGTTCAAACACTATTCCATTTTGGTGCTACTGATAAAGAGCCTGTTGAATTGAGGCATAGTTGTGTTCAACACATCACTTTTTGGTCTTTCACATACCGTTCTTGTCTAGCTCCATTTCATAATTACTTTTCTTTTTTTAAAAAAGATTTTATTTATTTATTCATGAGAGACACAGAGATAGAGAGACAGAGACACAGGCAGAGGGATAAGCAGGCTCCATGCAAGGAGCCCGACGTGGGACTCGATCCCGGGTCTCCAAGATCATACCCTGGGCTGAAGGCGGCACTAAACCGCTGAGCCACCGGGCTGCCCTCATAATTACTTTTCAAACTAGAGCACTCTATTTCTGACACCTTTGGTTCATATTCATCCAAATGTCCAGGTCTTTTTCTAAAACACATGTACATCATCAGTTTTTGTCCTAGTCTTTATTTTAAAGAGTTATTTGTGTCCTCATCTCAAATTAACTACGAAATTAATGGAGGCACATACATGTACCAGTATGTCATTGTCATGAAGATGCAATGCCTAAGAGTAAAGGTGATCCAGGGCTGGGGAATTTGAGGACTTGAAGGTGAGTCTTTGGATGCAGAGAGTTTGCAACATGGCGACTGAAAATGTGGTAGAAATTCACCTGTTCTTTACCTGTCTCTTGACACTTATTCTTGGAGGACACAGCAAAAGTCCTTTCTGAAAGACAGAAGGAGTCAATGAATGATCTTATTCTAGAGGCTTTCCTTTTGTCCATATCAAAGTTCCCACTTCCTAGTGAATATTTGTACCTGGGCATCCTACTGGGTCTCAAACACATGGTGTCTGAAAGAAACATTAGCTCAATACTCAATCCTGGACTTCACTTGATAAAATCATTTTTTTTTTCCATTACTCAAACTCAAGACCCATTAGTCCTTCTTTCTCAGGAACTTTCTCACCTACTTTTTCCTCTCCATTTCTCCTTCTATAGGTAAAATCTTATGATTTCATCCCAGGGGTAATTTTTTTTAGTGTTTTTGAGAGGCTTTGTGTTGGGTTCTGGGATCACAAAGACCAGCTTGTTTGTTGTTGCTCACAGGATTGAGTGTGAGCCAGGGAAGTGACCAGGAGAGACTGCCCAAAGACAGGGGATCTGGAAATGCATCACCTGGGGGTCCACATGGAGCTTTATTGGGCAGAGCATACAGGAAACTCTTGGAGGTCTGGGTCTCCATTTGGCTTCCTCCTAGTTCAACCCACTCAATACTCCGATTCTAAGCTTCTTAAATCTCTCCTGACCTCACATCCTTTGCTTGCATTTAAAGTTCTCTGCTGTGGGTACCAATCTGCATTCCTAACTTTATCACCCACAACTTCTTTCTGTGAAAAATCTAGCTCTTTCTCAATCATGTTGTGGAATCCTAATGGAAATTTCTTCACAGTTCTGTTATCAAACTCCCACTCAGCCTTCAAGGAATTAAACCCGTCACCCATCTGTTCCCTGTCAAATACCTTTATCAGCTCTCCTAAGGTCTTTCCTTTGCAACGCACAGTCTGCTTCCATTTCTTTGAATTTGCCTGTTTTCCTTCAATTTCAAATTCTTTGGGTGTGAACCAAACCCCCGCCTCATTCTGAATGCACTTCTCTGAGGATCCTGTAAGATAAAGATGGCCCATCCCCAGATCCAGTTTCATCCCCTGTGAATTCAGCCTAAACCTCTCAAAACCCATAACTGGTTGTTCCACCTGCCTGGGTCCAGAGAGATTCCCTGTGGGGAGGGAGCAGTAGCAAGGGAGTCTGGATTCCTCCTCTCTCAGAGTGAAGGAAGCCCTAAAAATCTGTGGGAATGGTGCCAGAGTGAGAAAGAATTTGCATTTTATGTGACATCTACAGGTGGCAAGTAGTGCCACTGGGTCCATGGATAACTTCCAGGTGGGAGTGGAGTGGCCGGGCTGCCAGGTATACCATGACATAGAAAGAAAATTCTCAACAACCACTTCTTTCTCTGTAGCCTGACTTGCAGGATTTAATTCCTGGATGATCAAACACATGGGTATTTTCCTCTCTTCTAGTGGTTCTAGGGGTTCCAAAAAGCAGAAGATTGAAAAAACTCACCTTGTTTCAATTTCTCCTTATATAAAATCCCCTTGGCTTCACCACAGGTCACAGGAAGTTTGGGAGAGAGAAAATCCACGGTTTCATCTTCAGATTTTTCTGAAAGTAGAAGGGAAAGTAGAAGAGTATAGTGTTGCTCAGTCTTCATTCTATCTCCTTGATGAATTTTCCTTACCCTGGATTCTGATAATAGTAATAACAACAATAATCATGTAAATGGCAATGAGGGACAACCTCTGGTTAACTGGCAGGAGGTCTTCCATTTTGAGTGGCAGATTAGCTAATATGTACAGAAGAGTTTCTGATAAAATCATCACCTTCGATATTACATCAAACAAAATGTTTAGTAAAACATATAGGGCTTCTTTGGTGAGTGGGTTTTATTTAATTCAGAAGCTAATTGACCATCACTTAACATTCTGGTCCTTTATTCCATAAGCACCTGCTTATCCCTCTGATAAGCTGATAAAAATTGCCTACTCAGAATATTTCATGGTGCTCATGTAGCTGGAGGAAAGGTCTTTGTCTATAATCTTATCACCTGCTTTAAACCAAGGCAGGGTGAGTGAGGTGCTTAGCACTGAGGGATTAGTATCAGTCTTAATTTTTTTTGTCCTTTTTCATTTTTTTTAAAAAAGATTTTATTCATGTATTGATAAGAGACATAGAGAGAGAGGCAGAGATGTAGGCAGAGGAAGAAGCAGACTCCCCGTGGGGAGCTTGATACGAAACTGAATCCCAGGATGCCAGGACCACGACCTGAGCCAAAGGCAGACGCTCAACCACTGAGCCACCCAGGTGTCCCTGTCCTTTTTCCTTTTATTGCTTTTCTGTTTCATCCTCTATGAGTAAAAAAGAAAAACTCCAAGGACTCTAGACTAATCTGTAAATTGCATATGGAGAGATTTGGTAATTGTGAGGCCCTGAGTAGGGATGTGGGGTATTGATTCAGGAGAAGCAGCTGTAAAAGAGTTTACAATAAATATCAGCAATTCCTGCTTCTTTTTACCCCAGCCTCACTGTGGGTGAATTCATTCCAGATAGACTGCAAGCTCTGTCTCTGGGGGCAAGAAGAAAGCTCTGCCCATGGCTTATTTGTGTTATACAGGACGCTACTTGTGGAATGAGGCTAAGGGAACAACTAGTCCAACTCTCTCTCTTGCCCTGAACACTTATTAAAAGAGCCAAAAGGAGATGTAAGAAAAAGCAAGAGCACCATTGGAAAAAGAACAGAGCAGCATCAGTGGTGAAAGAACTGTCCCATCAGTTACCTTGGGAAGATGTAAACTAGAGTCAGATGTGAAAGCACAGATCCCTGAGAAGTGAGGGGACGGCTCCCCTGAACAGAACACTGGAAGATGCCCAGCCTTGGAGGGGCAGGAGCTATAGCAAGCTTGGGTAGAAATGAGGGGGTGGGAAGAACTTAGTTTCAAGAGCCAGCCAGTACTCTTGCATGGAATGGCTGGCTCCATTACTTGTCTCCAGACTGTGCCCACTCAAATTGATATGGCCCAGGGGATGACAGCTCAGCCTCAGGAGCCAGACTGGCTGGGCTTATAATCTTGGCTGTGCAATTTGCTAGCAAGTTTACGAATGTGTATATTATTGTCAAAGTTGACTGGAAGATTTTCCATGGGGGGTTCATAACCTGGACAACAGGGCAGAGCCACAGGTAACTTAGGACCACTACTGCAAACCCCAGAGGGGGCTTAGAAGGCATTAGGGACCTCGTATAGTTCTCCGTCTCGTGGAATAAATGGTAAATATAGGTCCCAAAACGCAGATGTCCCAGTCATGCTTGCAAGCAGATGCAGGAACAGTGGGTAGCGCTGGCAATTCTGGGCTGCAAGCCAGGGTACAGAGTTGTGGGCACAAGCAGGACTCCCTCCTTTACTCAGTGCGGGCAGTTTACCAAGACAGGCAGGACCTTGTGTCCTGAGTATTTCCAAAGCTGCCACCATGTACCTAACGAGTGACAGCTTCCTAATCTGTTCCCAATAATCCTTCATTGGGCTTAGTCTCACCTGCTCATCTTGCAAACCGGTTTTTAAGGATGGAACCCTGAAGGGAAGGCCGCCTGCCTAACATCTATTAGCTCACCGTTCAGAAGCGTGAGCAAATAATGAGGAACCTGCTATGAAAAGTAAGCAATTAACAAAGAGAGTTCATGGAGACCAAAAGCAGGGTGGACGAAATGAAAAGAAAGCCTAACAGAGACAAGGGAAAGCAGAATGGAAAAAACCGAATTATGGATTGGGTAGATGAACATAGGGAAAAGTCACAAGGTGAAAACCACGCATGTACAGACATGGCCTGGGGAAAAGTCTGGAGCTCCATGGTAGTGTAGTCGTTGCAGCTCATACTGCATTGTAGGAGTAAACGGAGGCTCTGATATTGGGATTCACACTTTGCGAAGAATAGATAATGTATTGGCCTGACAGTTATTTTGGTGTAAACTTTGTGAGGCACGGAGAAGCTGGACATAGAGCAATGGGCAAGGTTGACTGCTTACTGATCTCATTTGACTTTCACACAGTGAACAGGATGTACACAGACAGTTAATTATAGTTGTGACAAGTGCCACGAAGCAAGAAAACACTGGGCTCCATGAAGGCATGTTAGGGAAACCTACCCTTGCCTGCTGGGACAGAGAATGCTTAGTTCAAGGTGAGGCAAGAGGGTGTCAAGGGAAGGGAAGAAGAACAAGGGAGATTAGCTTTGGGGAGGGAGTGTGTGATGTGGACAGAGGGAGGAAGTCTTGAGCAGGAAAGGAGGGTGAAGCATCCAGTGTCACAGTGGCGTCTGCTCTGAGAAATCAGGCTGGTGGGAGCACTCAGGATGTGGGTAGGGGTTGGATTGTGTGTGTGTGTGTTGCGTTGTGTTTCTTGATCTAGGTGCCAGGTACATGTGTGTTTTCCTTTGTATTAATTCCTGGTACCTGTGTTTTTCTTAGGCATGTTATGCACCAGTGCTACTCAACATGTCGTGTGTGATGAGACAGCAGCTGATCAAAATAGAATCAAGGCTCTCCAGGTCGTGGGATCGAGCCCCATGTCAGGCTCCATGATGGATGTGGACCATGATTGGGATTCTCTCTCTCCCTCTGCCTACACCACACCCCCTCCCCACCAGGGGTACATATGATCTCTGTCTGTCTGTCTCCCTCTCAAAAAAGAAAAAAGATAAAAAAAAGGAAAGAAATAAAAGAAGAAATCAAGGTATCTCCACCGAGGAGGGCTTGCTGTGAAGACAGCATGTCTAATGTCACAGTTAATTTATAAGCTCCTCCTTTTTATAGACCTGCCATAAACAGGCTTGTAGATGGCACCGGTCTGTGGACCCATCTCAAGTAGCACCTGCTCTGCTTCAATAATAAATTCATGGGGGAGAAAAGACCAATGTTACTGGAGCCTAAAGAGGGAAGGGAGAGTGAGAGAGGATAATGCTGAAGAAGTGTCACAAAAGCAGAAGAAAATTGAGCTCAAGCAGAAAAGGAGGAGGGAAAAGAGGAGGAGAAAGAGAGAAGGATGGTGACCCCAAGAGGCCTCAGAGTGCAGGGGGCAGAAGCAAGCTCACAGGCTGAAGCATAGAGACCAGGCTCGCACCCCTGTCTGTCAAAGCAATAGAAAGCTCAGCTCTTTGTAGGTAGGAACATCATCCGGGCTTTGCTTTCATAAAGGTTTTCACCAAGTTTTAGAATGAAGGAAGTATAAATTGATGTTAGAACTTAACTCATGGGTTTGATCATTCTCTTTTAATCATTCTGGGTCTTTGTATAGTTCTGTGTTGAAGAATCTGTACAGAAGTGGGTGATTGGGTAGGTAGTATAAGGTATGTGGCAGCATTCACCTGGAGTATCAGGTGTGGCACCTTGTTAGAGCAGAGAATGCAGGTGAAGGAGACCTAGCATGGGAGGGAACGAGGAGGAAGAGAGGGAGACAAAGAGTCAGCAGACAAACAGGGCATCAAGCGGAGTGATGGCCAGGCCCTGCTTCGGGCTTACTTACTCTTCAGGGGAATATTTTTCTGATGCCTTGTTGAACTTGAACTGATATCTTCTTTCCTTCTCTTTTCTAAAATAATAATAATAATAATAATAATAATAATAATAATAATAATATCATTTGTAATTGGAAACATAGATTTACATGCTTTATGTCAACTATTTTTTTTCTAAAGATTATTTATTTATTTATTCATGAGAGGCACAGAGAGAGAGAGAGAGAGACAGAGACACAGGCAGAGGGAGAAGCAGGCTCCATGCAGGGAGCCCGACGTAGGACTCGATCCCGGGTCTCCAGGATCACGCCCTGGGCTGGAGGTGGCACTAAACCGCTGAGCCACCCGGGCTGCCCTTTATGTCAACTATTTTAAAGTAATTTTTGAATTTCTACCACTTTGGAGAGACAAAGTAGATATGAGTCTTGTGAAAGGAACAGTATAGCATTGACCATGGAAAAAGAGCCAGCTCACGTTGATAGATAGGAAGGCTAAAAATACTACAGAAGCTGTATATTAATAAATTAATATATTCATATATTAATATAATAATGTATATACATGTATTTAATGCAAACAGTAGAATAAAGGGTATAACTTTATAACATAGAAAGGGCTTTTTAAGGAAGAAATACATAGGGCACAAAGCCATGGTTCTCAGTGCTGGGTGGCTTGGTCCCCTGGGGGATATTTGACAATGTTGGGAAATCTTTTTGTTTCTCACAACTGGGAGGAAGATGCTACTGGCAGTTAATGGCTGGGATGTTGCTAATCTTCTCACGATGCACATGACAGCACTCATAACAAAGAATTATTCAGCTCCAAATGCCAGTAAGTGTCAAGGTTGAGAAACTCTGGCATAAACCATCTTGGAAAAGATAAAACTGATTTGTCTAAATAAAATATTTTAAAAAGTCTCCACTACCAAAAATTTCTCAAGTTAAAAATTTAAATAAAATAAATAAATACAAATAAAATAAGAAAAATTTCAATACATTAACAAAGTGTTGATTTCTGTAATTGATTAAACAAAAATGAATTGTCCTATAAAAAATGGGCAAATATGAACAGGTGATTCTCAAAATAAAAAAATTCTAATAACAGATTTATTTAAAAAACAGGTATCTTTGGGCAGCCCGGGTGGCTGAGCAGTTTAGTGCCGCCTCTGGCCCAGGGTGTGATCCTGGAGACCTCGGATCAAGTCCCATGTTGGGCTCCCTGCATGGAGCCTGCTTCTCCCTCTGCCTGTGTCTCTGCCTCTCTCTCTCTCTCTCTCTCTCATGTGTGTCTCTCATGAATAAATAAATAAAATATTTAAAAAAACAGGTATCTTAGGAGAAATAGGCTAGATGATGTTATGGCAAATTGTAAACCTCCTAAATCTCAGTGGTTGATTATAGGTATTGGCAAATGACAACTTGAGGACCAAATCTGGTCAATACCTGCTTTTATACATAAAGTTTTATTGGAACACAGCCAGGAGCATTTGCTTATATGTTTGTCTCCGGCTGCTTTCATGCTACAATGGCAGTGTTGAGTAGTTGCAGTAGAGACTGTATGGGCAGCAATGCTTAAACTATTATCTGGCCCCTTTTAGAAAGTTTGTCAAGTGCTGGTTTAGAACAACCCAGTTGTACATCTCCTTCATGCTACTTGTTCATCACGAGTTAGATGCAGTTCCATATCATTGTCATACATAGATTCTGGGGACAGAGAAACCTCTGTCTAGAACCATTGCTGGTCCCATGACAGAGAAAAAGATGATACACAGGCTCTGAAAGGTTTGGCTTTGAAGTGACCCTCACACCTCTGTCCACATTTCCTTGTCCAGTCAAGTGACATGGCCACACCAGAGTCCACAGGGCAAGGGTATATAACCTTCTGAGATATCAGTAGTGATACAACCTATCACAAGCAAAGTGCAAAGAAATTCAAAGGAAAACACGAGTAGAATATCATTCTTTGATTTTTTTTAAGGTTTTATTTATTCATTCATGAGAGACACGGAGAGAAAGGCAGAGATATAGGCAGATGGAGAGACAGGCTTCCTACAGGGAGCCTGATATAGGACTAGATTCTAGGACCCTGGGATCATGACCTGAGCCAAAGGCAGATGCTCAACCACTGAGCCACTCAGGTGCCACCATTCTTTGCTTTTAATCTGTCAACACAGAAAAGTCATTATTTCTAGTTTTGGTGGAGGCTTAGGGAAAGGAGCATCCATGTAATGTTAATGGGCATCTAAACTAGCAAAAATTTGATCATCAATATGTGTTAATTTTAGATATGTAGACTTATTGACTAAGTCACTTCTCTTCTAGAAATACATCATTAAGAAATACTCCTAAGAGTGTGTCCACTTTGAGGATTGGTGTCACTCCTCATATGGGGTGAACTTGAATCAGACAGGAGCTCTCAGACTCAGTGGAGCAGTGGTGACTCTACAAATAGAAATGTAAACAACAGACACTGGGAAGTAGTCATGTGAGTCCATGTGTCACAGCTGAGATGACCTGCACATTGCAGGCATTGCACTGACTTCTTCCCACAACGACTTTCCAGCAACTCCTTGCTGACTTGTCTGCACTGCTCCCTTCTACTGTTTCCTTTGCATACCACCCAACCCTGTGCCTGCCCCATGAGAGACTCTCCCACACTGAGCATTCAGATGACAGATTCAGTCCCCAGCTTACCCTTTGGTTCCAAGGTTTGAACACATTCAGTCCTTGCCTTTTGGGCCCTTGTCATGACCTTTGAGCTCCTCCAATCATCCTTCCTTTCAGTTGCCTGATCCATCACTTGGAGATTCTCTTGGATTCTGTGCTCAGGTGAGGCTGCCCATGGGATAGTGATCTGTTAATAGTTTTAAATTGTGGTTCCCAGTGAACCTCTTCCTCCCTCTTTTAGTGACTTTCCATCTCATACCCCAGTCTTCAACCTTTTAGGAAATCCCTGTACCCTTGTACCTCACTTTTATCTGCTATTTTCTTATAGTCCTTCCTCTTCTTTTTTGTGTTTATCTTTTTTTTCCTCCCCCAAATCACAATACTCCATCCTGTTTCTCTTTTCCCCCTTCAACTCCTCTTTTTGTTTATTAATTATACATGCATCAATTAGAATGTAAGCTCCATGTGGGCAGGGATGTTTGTGTTTTGCTCACTGCTGAGTCTGTAGGACCTAGGACATGTGCCTGAAACATATCTCACACTCTATTCACCTTTGTTTTTGTTTTTAATTAATTATTTATTTGTTTGTCAGAAAGAGAGAAAGAGAGCACAACCAGGAGAACAGCAGGCAGAGGTGAGAAGCACAGAAGGCAGAGGTGAGAAGCAAGTTCCCCACTGAGCAAGGACCCTGATGCAAAACCTGATCCCAGGACCCTAGAGTCATGACCTGAGCCAAAGGCAGTTGCTTAAGACTGAGCTATCCAGGCTCCCTCCCTTCACCTTTATTGACTGTATACATAAGGAGAGCATATTTTTGAAAATATTAAAATGATGTAATTTTATCCTCATAAATCACAGTGGCCCAGGGTTCCCTAATTATTAAATCAATAAGTTTCTGGGAAAGGACAGACACTGGCTAAAACTGAGTCATCACTGCTTAGTTGAGACCTTTTGGGAGACCATGCACAAAATCTTGAAACACAGAACTTGTTGAGAGCCCAAAGCTTTTCTAAGTTCCAAAAATTACATTTATGTACTACCAATACAAGTTTGGAGGTCTAAATGTGAAGTTTTCCTAAAAGTCATTGGTAAAGAAAACTCAGCATATGACAAAGACTAAGTTTTCTCTAGCCAAGGGAAGAGAGGAGGTGGGAAATTGCGAGAAAGAGAAAAGACAAAAACGAGGGCAAGCAAGTAGATCTGAGTCCCCTCCTGGGTCAAACTCTGAGACTGAGAGGCACTGTAAATAAGCAGGAAAATAAGCACATGTCCAAAGCAGTGATGCTCATGTCATGATACATGTTGGGAGCTGAGGGGAAATGCCCTCCCAGGGTGCTCATGGAATGGCCCAGAATCCAAGGGAATCCTTAGCGACTAGCACATCTTGGGCCCTAGTTTGGGTACATAGTTTTGAGTAAAAGAATGAAGGGAGAGGGAAGGAGAAAGGTAGGAGGGAAAGAGTTCAGGGGAGGAGAACAGGATGATGAGGATGTCATAAAGCTAAAGCGTAGGAACCAAAATGTGCAGTTTCACAAATTTTTGTTTCCTATACTGCAAATAATGCAATTTTCATGCATGGAGTAGACACATGATAAGTAGCCATAAGTCAATTCAGATTTTTTTTAAAGATTTTATTTATTTATTCATGAGAGAGAGAGAGAGAATGAGAGAGAGAGAGAGGCAGAGACACAGGCAGAGAGACACAAGCAGGGAGCCTGACATGGGACTCGATCGTGGGTCAGACCCTGGGCTGAAGGCAGCGCTAAACACCTGAACCACCCGGGCTGCCCAATTCAGATGGTTTTTGAATGCTTGGGACTCCAAATCTAATTCCAGTTTGATATTGGGAGTTTGAATCCTACCTGGCCATTAAGACTAGCTTTCTCTACTCATCCTGGCTCTGAGCCAGACTAGACACAGTCCTAATCTCAAAACTATGTGGCATCTCCTGTTCAGTTCCACTCTATTCCTCCCAATGATAAGAGAAAAGAATTATGCTGGAACCATCATGGTGTCTGGGTTCTCCTTCTTTTCTGAGGAAGGGTCCTTTAACAGGGTGACTTAGGGGGCAGAGATGGGACTGGCTGGGTTCCAGGGATACTCAGATGGCCATGTGCCTGGAGAGGAGGCCATGCTGGTCATCCAGGTAAGGACCTTGATGAACAAGGGAATAATAACTTCACTCTTTTTGCTTACTTCTTGGGAGCTTTTGCCCCTGCCTTCTTTTTGAAGATGGCAGGTTATATTTTTCTATCTTCTTTTCTAAAACAGAAAAAAAAAATCTCATAGCTATAAATATTGATTTACAAGCTTGAGATGTCAATACTTTATAAAAAATTTTTAAACGATTTTATTTATTTGTTCATGAGAGATGCAGAGTGAGAGGCAGAGACATAGGCAGAGGGAGAAGCAGACTCCTTGAGGGGAGCCTGATGAGGGACTCAAGCCTGGCACTCTGGGACCATGCCCTGCGCTGAAGACAGACACTCAATTGCTGAGCCACCCAGGCACCCCTTATAAATAAATTTATGTAAAAAATTATTCCATTTTACTTGGAAATAAAAAACGATTGAACAAAGAAGTCATATATATACCAAACTATCAACAGTGGGGAATCTCTCCCTCTCCCTCTGCCCCTCCCCTCTGCTTGTGCTCTCTCTCATGCTCTCTCTCAAATATATAAATAAAATCTTCAAAAACAAAAGAGATTTACTTAGCTAAAAACTCAAGGGCAAAAATCATAAAGGTAAAAGATGTACAGATTTGGCTGGTTAAAAAATAAAAAATGTCCACACTTCAAAAACATCCTTATAATATTAAGACAAAAAATGGGGAAAATTGCAATATATGTAAAATATAAAGAGTTAATATCCTTACTAGATAAAGCAAAAGAGAAATAGGCACTAGGAAAATGGGAGAGAACATAATTGAAAATACTCAAAGAGGAAATACAAGTGACACATGTACTTAAAAATTGTCTTCAGACCGATAATCATAAAAAACAAAACAAAACAAAACACGTTGTTTGGCTTTAAGGATCCTTGTTCTTTAAAAGGTTTTATCCTATTTAGTGTTGATGAGGACATAGAAAATGAGCACTCATCTATTGTCAAAGGGAATGTAAACAATCCCATTTTCTGAAGAACAATTTGCTGACAAAGATGAAATCGAAGATATGCAGACTCTACCCAAGTAATCTCACACTTAGCAATTAATTCTGAGGAAATTACTGGATATACGTGCAAAGGTACAAACACACACATACATGATTTCTATTTTCTTTTCTTTTTTAAGATTTATTTATTTATTCATGAGACAGAGAGAGAGAGAGAGAGAGAGAGAGAGGAGGGCACAGACACAGGCAGAGGGAGAAGCAGGCTCCATGCAGGGAGCCTGATGTGGGACTCGATCCCGGGTCTCCAGGATCACACCCCGGACTGCAGGCAGCACTAAATTGCTGAGCCACCTGGGCTGCCCTGATTTCTATTTTCATATAAAAATTGGAGATAACCTAACTGCCCATCATATAGGCGATTATTTAAACTAAATTGCTAATTATACAATAATGTGCTATATAACTAAAAGAAAGAAAAACATAACATTGATATGCAGATATATGTATTAAATACCCAATGAAAAAACTGTTTATAGACCATATAGTAGATGCTTCTATGTATATAGAATAAGATAAAGCTATGCATATTTCTAAGGTATAGAAATAAAGTGGGAGAAGCAGATGAAATAAGAGTTTCACTTCCTGATTAACAGCTTCCTGTACAGATTCTGTGGATTTTACTGGGAACATTGTATCACATAAGACAAGGTAGGCTGTGCCGTTGTACAAACAAAACCACATCTTGGTGGCTAAATGTTGACAATGTTATGTCTCAATCACACAGAGTCCCCTGCAGGACTTGGAAGCTCCCAGCAGTCTTTATGGTGGTGTTGAGACCCACACTGCCTTGGCCCTCTGGCACTTTCTTCTTCCACAATCAGATGAAGAGGGTATGGAGAGCTGCACAGTGGCACCTCTGTGCTGTTATTTTTAAAAGATTTTATTTCTTTATTTGACAGAGAGAGAGAGAGAGAGAGAGAGAGAGAGCAGAGCACAAGCTGGGGGAACAGCAGAGAGCAACAGGTTCCTTGCAGAGCAGGGAGCCCAATGCAAGGCTTGAGTCTCTGCCCTGGACACTGCATTTCTCCCAGGAGCTGGGAAATGTAGTGTCCAGGGCAGGGAAGAGAACTGGAAATAGTGCAGAGCACTAGCGATGCTCACCACTACAGTGTGCAAGGCCTGGACTGCTGATTGTTTGCCTTTCTCTGGTCTCACTCCTCTTTATTAATAAAAGTATTGATTTTGAGCTGGATACTTGTCCTTTGAGTATAAAAATTACATTTCCCAGCCTCCTGTGCAGTTAGGTGTAGTCAGGTCACTCCTAGCAATGAGATATTAACAGAATATCTAACTGCAACCTGCAGATAGTGCCCTTCAATGGAGGAGAGATGCACCCCCCCCCCACCCTGCCACCAGACCTTGCCTCTTTCCTTTGGTGGGACTGTAGACTCGCTGGCTGTACCTCAGTGAGAAGGGGCCACACTCTGAGGATGGTGGTGCAATGACTAATGACAGTTTGAGACTCTAGGTGCATGTGTCAGCCCTGACTGCCCACCTACACGTGGGAGAGAGAAATAAACTCTCTTATTTCAGCCATTGGTTTTTGAAGAGAAGGGTGGTTGTTGTCACATACAACAAGCTAATCCTACTGGCTGCTGCTTATTGCTTTTATAGTGTGGAAAATTTTCTGTGTTGAAAAAAATAAATCCCTGTTTTAAAAAGCACAAATCTTTTTATGGTGTAGGATGTCTTTTGTAGCCTGGAAGAGCATTAACAACCCAAAAAAGTAACATCAAATCTACCCTAACAGAAACCAAATAGGTTCTTTACACTTACGCTTTTCCCCAGGAGATTTTCCCAAAGGTGATTTATTTCCATTCTTTGTTGGATCTAGAAAGTAATGAGAAAGAAAGTAATTTTAAACGGGCTTTAAATTTTGTGACTACCTCATTTCAGATAATATTGGGTTGGCAAAGCTTTGTCAGTATTATTTCAATCCTTTCCTTTATAATGGGGAATGATGGGGCTTGAAGAGAGTTCTAGGGGGCCATGGCACTCATCTCATCCTATGCCATCATCCTTTATCCACAATCCTGGAAAAACCCACTCATCCTTTACATGCCTCAGTCTCATCTATAAAATTGGAATTCATTATTCAACATTCTCTAAGGATTGTTGTAAAAATAAACTGAAAATATCCATGAGAAAATTTGCAATATTACTATGTAAGTTAGTGCAATGTGGGAGAAACTGTTAAAATGATTATTTGTACCTTAAGGGGGTCAAATGCAACCCATTCTTTCTGACAATAAATACTTGCCATTTGAGAGTTGCATTCTGTGAATTTGGGACACATCGCCAACAAACAGAAGAATGTTCATATTTTCTTTCCCCCTGAGGATAGCGATAGCAAATGTGCACTGTGGCGTAGTGATTGTGAGGGTGGACTCACCTCACCACTTGTCAGCACATGCCCACAATGACATCAGTGGCAACTGCTCGGTTGTAGTATTATATTTGTGTTTCTGATGAGCTGTTCTCTTCCCAATTCTCTCAGAAAGGGTAAGTGAGAAACATGGAAATTTGGATCTTTGGAAAAATTTTGTTCCATGGCTTGAACACTTGCAATAGAGTACCATGAATGTATTTAGGATACACTCAGCAGGATAAAGAAGATGTGGTTTATGTATACAATGGGATACTACTCAGCCATTAGAAACGACAAATACCCACCATTTGCTTCAATGTGGATGGAACTGGAGGGTTTTATGCTGAGTGAAATAAGTCAGTCAGAGAAGGACAAACATTATATGGTCTCATTCATTTGGGGAATATAAATAATAGTGAAAGGGAATAGAGGGGAAGGGAGAAGAAATGGGTAGGAAATATCAGAAAGGGAGACAGAACATAAAGACTCCTAACTCTGGGAAACGAACTAGGGGTGGTGGAAGGGGAGGAGGGCGGGAGGGTGGGGGTGACTGGGTGGCGGGCACTTAAGGGGGCACTTGACGGGATGAGCGCTGGGTGTTATTCTGTATGTTGGCAAATTGAACACCAATAGAAAAATAAATTTATTATTTTTAAAAAAATAGAATACATTCAGCAGTATTGTCCCAAGGTAGAAAAAATTAGTTTGGAGATTAGGGTGGGGAATCTTACTCTTTTTATGTATGAAGTATATAGATAGGCAGATATTTATTCCTCCTCAAGATAATTATCTATCTATCCAAACATAAATGGGTATATAATATATTTGTGGTATTAAAATATCATAGGTTGTGTTCATGGTTAGGAAAAAATATCCAAGAGGGCTCCTTAGGGCAGTGATAATGGGGAAAGGGTTGGTTTAGAATCAAAAAGCTCTGAATTTGGGTTCCTGAAGACTGCACTTTGAGACTTGCAATCCCTCATCTTTACCATGCAGGATGCTTAGTGGTGTGCCGGGCGGCTCCTGGGGTCTCTTTTCTTCATTTGTTTCTGAACAGTCATCACTGATTTCTGAAAAAAAAAAAAAAAAAAAAAAAAAAAAAAGACATTTCTTTCAGGTCTCAGAAAATGGCCCTGGAAAGTTCCTAGGAGTGTCCTGAGGTCCCAGGACAGACATTTTTGGTGAAGGCTGGAGGTTCCAGGTCTTGCTTGAGTTTCCATAACCCTTCCTGAGAATGACTCTACTACTGGGTCTGTCTGCCACTCTGGCGAGGCGTAGAGCAAGGCTGGGCAGCAGAGTGTCCTCTGCCAGTGGAGATATCCAGCAAAGGGCAGTCATCTGAGTCCTGGGACCAGAGGCTCAAAGTGAGGTCATGAATCCCTAGGGCATCCAAGGAACCCTTTCAGGATATCTCTGAGGTCAAAATCGGTTCCTTACTAAGACATTCTTTGCCTTTCATATGTTGACATGTGCTCACATGGAGCAAGAGCTATGGCAGGTAAAGCTGCTGGTGCCACAGTATAAATTAAAGCAAGTGTCCCTAAACCTTATGCAGTCTTCCCTACAACAGACCATTTAAAAAAAAAGAAAAGAAAAAATAAATAAAATAAAAAGAAAAGAAAAGGTCAGTTTCACTTAAGAATGTTCTTGATGGGGATGCCTGGGTGGCTCAGCGGTTGAGTGGCTGCTTTTGGCTCAGGTGGTGATCCCGGGGTCCCGGCTCAAGTCCTGCATCGGGCTCCCTGCATGGAGCCTGCTTCTCACTCTGCCTGTGTCTCTGCCTCTCTCTCTTTGTCTCTCATGAATAAATAAATAAATCTCTACCAAAAAAAAATGTTCTTGATGAACGAATTAAAGTGATTAACTTTACTAAATTTCTACCCTTGAGTACATCTCTTTTTAATAATCTATGTGAAAAACTGGGAAGTCCATATGAAGCAGTTAGCTACATCTTAAAGCACGAATGTCTCAAGAAAAATACTTGTGTGATTGAGCTACAAGCTCACTGTATAAGTCAGTGACCCCCTATTTTCCAAATGTCCAAGATATTATAAAATCCTGCATAAATAGAAAATCCTTTTAAAATGCAAGACAGCATAATGCATTGCACTGCAACAGATTATAAAAAGTTCATTCATGTGGTTTCAGATGCCACCTCACAACTAACGTTTAAGAAACCAACCCTTCTTGACTTTGGGTATAATATCAAAGATAAGCATACACAGATATCTCAATAAATGGCGAAAACACTCCACCCTTTCAAACTACAGATCCTCACGAAGCAAAGCAATGTATCCCAACCGGTTAAACAGAGAAGCACCTCTACGAATCCAGCTGTCTTTGACTCCGCTAGACATTAAGAGATTTGTAAAAATGTAAAATAGTCTCAGTCCTCTCACCAATCTTTGTGTTTGGAAAATATATTTTATTTTACATAAAAGATGTTATTTATGTTAACTGGTAGTTGGTATATCACTGTTACTTATAAATGAATTAACACAAATATTTTTCAATGATTGGTTTTAATTTCTGATGCAGTACATATTGGTAAATATAAACAACATAAACAAAAAGTCTTTAGGGTCCTCCATAATTTTTAAGAGTGTAAAGAACTCTTCAGACCAAGAACTTTAAGAGCTGCTGTCTTAGGCCACCGCTGAGGTCAGCCGTACCCTGTGGCTGGAGCTGTTTCTGCACAAAATCTCAAGTGCAGCAGATCTTTGCTCTCTCTTGTCACACAGACCTCACCATCTTTCTCTGCACTTCTCCCTCCTTGTACTATTACCTTTACACATCCACCTAGTGCTGTGCCTGCTGCGTGCGAGACCCTCCCACACTGAGCATAAAGGGCAGCAGAAGTTCTTACCTTCTGGTCCAGAGGTTTGGGCACATTCAGTGCTTGCCTTTTGGACCCTTGTAGTCAAGTTTGACTTCTTGGTTGAATCGCCCTTCCTTTGAGTTGTCTGATCCACCACTTGGAGCGTCTCTTGGATTCTGGGCCCAGGTGAGGCTTTCCCTGGGCCAAATAGTGATTTGTGAGTGATTTTCATGGGAGGAACCCAGTAAAGCTCCTCCTCTCCCTCCCATGCCTCCAGCCCTCACTTGAGATCTCTGTGCCCCTGTGCCTTGTTTTTCTCTTGCTACGTGTCTGCAATTATATACTTTTTCTCGTGTGCACCTTTCTTTCTCCCTTGGACTGAACACCTGCTCTCACACCTGTTCAACCTGTTGCAATTAACCAGACCTCCAGAGCAGTGGGATTTCTTTCCTGGGCCCTGTGGTATTGGTCCTGGAGGTGGCCACATTGAGTAAGAATGGCCAAGGGGGCAGCCCGGGTGGCTCAACGGCTTAGCACCATCTTCAACCCAGGGCGTGATCCTGGAGACCCAGGATCGAGTCCCATGTTGGGCTCCCTGCATGGAGCCTGCTTCTCCCTCTGTCTGCTTCTGTCTCTGCCTCTCTCTCTGTATCTCATGAATAAATAAACAAAATCTTAAAAAAAAAAAAAGGCGAAATGGTCTGTTTTGGCACTGGAAGAATGTTTCCAAGTACCTTTCCAGCTTCCTGAGGGCCTATGCGTGGATAAGGAGGGACCCAAGTGTGCCTCTAGTAGGGAGAGTGCAAGATATCGGATATCGAAGGATTGAGGGGCCCTGAGATGGAGTGAGAGGCTGGAACAGAGAGGATTTGCGATGCCTGAGCTGGGGGGTTGTCAGGGTTAGGGTTCTCTTTCCCACAGACCTGGATGCCAAGGCCTTATATTTTTGGATCTGATTTTTTTTTTTTTTAATTGAGTGCCAGATTGGCAGACTGTGAGGAAACTAAACTCCCTTGATTTCTCTGTGCTTCTGTAAAAAGCCCTAGCCTCTTGAGACGTGGAAATGTATACAGAATAAAAATAGGGAATGCTTGCTTTCATTTCCCTAGAAACATTCCGCTTTTCACATACCATGAGAATGAGATCTGTAGCTAGTAAATTGCCATCTGATCCAAAAGAATAATAAAACTTCTCATCTCCTGAGATTGCTAAATGCCTACAGGAGGGCTTGCTTCCTAGGTTAAGTCCCAAAGTACCAGGACTGGAGCCCTCCCCCCACAGGGTATTTATACATCAAAGGGGACGAAGCCCAGAACTTGGAGACATCTTTAGTAAAAGCTGGAGACACCTGGACTTTCTCTGCCTCTTAGAAAGAGGCATTTAAATTTCAAAAAATTAGGGTGAGGACCCAGGATTGTTTCAATCTTATCTCAAAGCAGCAATTTTTTTTTCTCCTTTTGGGAGGGAAAGAGGATGGCTGCCCCTGTTCCACCTGTGAACAGAAAAATCCATCATCCCTGTCCCTTGTCTAAGGGATATTATTTGCCTCCTGGAGCGATTTCATCAGCTCTCTCCTCATGCCCATGGGTCTGCATGTGGTGGGTCGATGCTGCGGTGTTACTCTGGCTGTTGAGCTGGTGATGATCAATAAGGAATTCTCTCCCCTGACCCATACACTTGGGGTTCCTGCAGTGATCCTATATGTAAAGAATGTGCCTATGCAAGTGGGGCACCATGTCAGACACTTCACGGTTTTTGACAAAGCTCCACCTGGCATGGCACAAGGGCATAGACAGCTAGTGCAAATCTTGAAATGGGCAGTCAAAAATGGTGCAAATCTTGAAATGGGCAGTCAAAAATGGAAAACTTAAAGATTCCCCCCAATTATTTGCATCTTCTCTAAGCAACGTATGCCACCATTCACCCAGCCATTCAAGCCAGACACTGAAGAGCAAGACTTAACTTCTCTCTCCTCCCCAGCTTCCAATTTATCGAGGCCTGTCAATGCTACCTCCAAGGTGGTCTTGAGCTGGCTCTCCTCTTTCCGTTTCCACCGCCAGATCTGAAAGCAGAGTTCTGTCAACTTGAGTGGCAAGTTGAACCCTCGCAAACGGTTGCCCTGCTTCCATTCTATTCTGTTGCCAATTTATTCTTTACCCAGCACCACAATTGTTCTTGTCAAATATAAAGCGAGATCATGCCATTTCAATGATTAGACCTCTTCGATGTCTCCTCATTTCATTACAATACAATCCAACTTCCACACCTTGACTTACAAGCATGAGCTGTCTGCAGCCTCTGACCTCCTTTTGTTCTCTTGTCTTACCTTTTGGGAGGCTTTTTGTCTGGCGTCTCTTTTTTGGAGTTGACCAGATACTTCTTTTTCTTTTCTTTCCTAAGAAAGAAAGAGTACAGATCATCTTTCCATGGCTACAAACATAGATCTGCCAACTTTATATTTTAACAAATTTCAGCTTTCAATTTTGGTCTTCAGACCACAGTGGCAAGGCGGTCACTGGTGACTTTATGTGATGCTACTTCATGGAGTAATGAGGGAGAAGAAATTCTAATGTGGTAGAGGAGAGAGACACATGACGAGATGGGGACAATGAGTTTAGTTAACTCATTGCTAGCAGTTTGGTTGTGAAATGGAAGAGAGAGCTATGGAAGCAGGTAAAGTGAACTGAGGATCGAGAGGAGGCTCCTTTTATGAGCTATGGCAGGCTCGGGCAGTGGCTGAATGCAGATCCTGTGACACGGAAATGCTGAATTCTCAGGAGAGAGAAGGGATCGTGGATACCATTAGGTGAGGTGGAAGGGTTGCCATAGAGAGAAAGAGGGCACCGGACAGGAGGGGAAAGATACAGGTGGAGTTTGCAGGTTGGTAGCAGGAACTGAGGGGATTCCTATCTGATGCCTTTCTAGGAAGTAGGAGGAAAAGTAACCTGTCAAGAAAAGGGAAGTGCCGTGGAAGGGGGAGGTCAGCATTTTGAAGAAAAAGCTCAGGGTTGGAAAGGATCATTGTGGAACTGTCATGCAGTGTGGGAGGATCATTTACTTGGAACTCATGAAGACACAGCCTATGTACTCTGCCCTGCTGTGTGGCTCTCCCCAGTGGGGCCTGCCTTCAGACGCAGTGTGCAGAAAGCAGATAACAGGTCCCTCCAAGACCTGCCAGAGGGTTCTAGGAAAAGACAGAAAGAGGGAGGCAGATTAGCATATCAGCAAGAGGTTACTGAAGTGATGGTTTGTGGACTCTAACCTGTTATGAAGGGGCATGAAGAGAGGCATGTAATGAACCAGACAAGAGGAAAGCCAATGGACTGGTTATCCAAGTGAGGTTGAAGGACAGCTCCAGAGAGAACAAATTGTAAGGAAGAAATCAGGCAGGGATACTTTCAAATTAACTTTTTAAAAAGTTTTTATTTATTTATTTATTTGAGAGAGAGAGAGAGAGAGAGAGAGAGAGAGAGAGAGAGAATGTGAAAGCTAAGAGAGGAGCAGAGAGGGACAAACAGGCTCTGGACCCAGTGTGCAGCCCAACGAGGGCCTTGATCCCACTGCCTGAGATCATGACCTGAGCCAAAATCAAGAGTCAGAGGCTTAACTGACTGAGCCCCCTAGGTACCCCTTGAATTAACTTTTAAATAATTAATTAGTTAATTATTGGGAAGTTAAGCCAGACTTCAGCAAATAGAAGGTTGATGTGTTGCCTTTGGGTGCAGAAGGTCAAGAATCAGTGCAGGAAAAAGTCACTGGGAAAGATCCAGGGAAGCATCCCTGTGTATGTTGAAGGTGTCCAGGATGGTGGCAAGACTTGCACTGGCAGAAAAATTCTATATCAGCCTTTGAGGTCTGCTGAGGAATTGAGGGCAAGTCTGGGATGATAGTGATGAAGAGGGAGGGAATCTTTCATTTGAATGGTTAAGCCTCAAAGTAGAGGATGGAGGAGCAAGGGGCTGGCTGGGTAGCAAGTGGTAGATATCCACACTGCCTTTCGCCATGAGTGATAGCAGAGTCTGCAGCCCTGTCTTAAGAAGAAGCAGTGTCCTCTCAGGGAACCAGCTTTCAGTTAAAGAGGTACGACTAACCCTCCAAGAAGTTGTGGATGAAGGAGACCTTGGTGATTTCAGAGCAGACAATTGCAACAAGTACATATTTCAATGGCCCTCAACGCCTTCTTGTTTCCCTAGAATCTTCATGGAGACCATCAAGGGAGATGCAGAGAGTGGGAACTGAAGAAACAAGTTGTCAAGAGCATCATGACTACAATCTCATGGTGGGTGCTCCCAGCAAAATATGATCAGAAAAGCAGAAAATAGCTCCAAATTCCTGTTCCCGACGTCTGTGGGAGAAAGGCAATCCTTCCTTACCTTTCTTTTTGGGAGGTGTGCTGGATGCCTCCTGGAGCTCTTTGGGGTCATTTGGTTCAGGAGAGTCATCTCTTATCACTAACAAAAGATAATTTGGTTCAGAGTTTGGAACAGGCTGAAGGAAAAGTCCTGAGGGAGCTGAGGGGAGAGCAGGAGGGTGCTGAGGCTGGGGAGCTGCCAACGCCTGGAGCTCCTGGCCCTGCCTTGATTTGATCAGTTTGTCATCAGAGTTACCTGTGTGGCTATCCCAGTGAATCAGGGAGCAACTGCCCCGCAGAGGAGGGCTCAGTTTGACCTGTTTCAAAAGGTTCCTCTCGCTCACTTGAAGGGAGGAACAAGGGCTCTCAGCAACCCTCATGCAAGGAATGAGACTCACCTTGAATTCTGGTGGCTTCAATGAAAGGGAACGTCTTCGTCATATGAAAAATACAGGCTACTGCTTAGAGGTCTGTGAATGGATATTTTTGAACTGCCCCCTTTGTCATTACTTCACCTTGAAAAATAGTGAAGGAAGCTAAGAGCCGTATGAATTTCTGTGTACAAGAACTGAGAACGCAGGAGCTAACCTCTACTTGCTACCACGTGTTAATAGCAGATAAATACAAAGTTCTAGTTTTTGGTGCCCCAAGAACAGAAGGGTTGGAGGCCATAATAAATCTCAAGTAAGACTGGCACCTTCTTCCTGCTTATACGGTGCCATGTGACCTATCTCAAATTTTGGTCTGCTTAAGAGTAGGTCGTTGAGGCAGATGGCAAGCGGTCATTAGACATTTGAAATAATTGTTGCATTTCAAATTATTTTAATCATATCAACTCTCACAAATCGAAACGATACAGAAATGACTAGGGTTGAAGGTGAAATTTGCCCACAGTCAGGGTGAGGGCTGGGAAAAAGAACCATCCACGTCTGGGTTGCCAGTTCAGTGTCAGGGCCACACAGTGTGTTTTTGTTTGCTCTGCATTTGGATGGAGCAGTTTTGAACTTTACCTTCTTGCAGTGACCTCAGGTTACACGAGTGAGTTATGCAGTCCTGCTCCACCTCAGTCCTGTGTCCTTTCCTGTCACATGCCCTCATGGTGGTGAAAGCTCTTGCTTAGCAGATCTCCTAGTGATGTTTGCAGCCCAGGCCCACTGGGTACCAGTGGGGCTTCTGACCCTCATCTTCTGTGCTCCTGCTCTAAGTCTACCTTTCCCAGACTCATCTCCCTTGTCCTTCCTAGGATCTCCTGCCTGTCCAAGCTCCCGGGGGTCTGAGTGGACAGCTGGGAGCTGGGTGGGTGAAGAGGGTGGTGCAGAGTAGCAAGGAGAACCCTGTCTCGAGGGAGACCCGAATGGCCTCTCCTCTCGGTAGACATGGAAACTAAGGCAGACAGTGGTTGTCCACATCAAAATTACCTGACACAGGGCCTGGTGGGCATCTCTTTGAGCATTTCTTTATCTTTTGTTTGGGGGCTCAGGTTATTACCAGACATTGAGCAGAGGAAGAAGAGGAATTTCAGATCCCAGGACTAGCAAACAGGGACCAGAGGGAGGAGGAACAGAAACAATCTGTTCCAGCCATGAAAAACGATTGGGCCCACTGAACACCAAAGCCTGGTAAGGGTGGGATAGATGGGGAGAGTCAAGGGTTATTTCCTTTCAACTTCGACTAGCTGCTTACTAGTTTTTTTCTATTTTATTATTAAAAAATTTTTTTTGAAGATTTTAAAATGAGAGACACACAGAGAGAGGCAGAGACAGAAGCAGAGGGAGAAGCAGGCACCATGCAGGGAGCCCGACGTGGGACTTGATCCTGGGTCTCCAGAATCATGTCCTGGGCCAAAGGCAGTACTAAACCGCCAAGTCACCCAGGTCGCCCTAAAAAAAATTTTTTTTAATTCTAATGTAGTTAATATACAGTGTTATACTAGTTTCAGTTGTAGGATACAGTGTAGGATACAATGAATGAATTTAGTTCATTCTTTCTTTTGGTAATCTAGAAGAAGGGATCTTCCATTGTTATTGGCTTCATGATTATGTCCATCTTATTTGGATGGTGTGTATTAGAGGAAGGAAGAAAACATTTGGACCATGGGGGGCCCTTTATGCCTCAGTATTGGAGAGCTCAGAATTCACGATGCCATTTTTGACAGTGCCCAATAATACTCCATGGTTATATTTAATGTAATCAAAAGTCCTTAATAATGATAGTTGGGGGGAAATAAGAAACACAACTTTGGAAGCCAAATCTTTCAGCGTTTTATCAGATCTTTCAATCAGCAGATCTTTCAATGTTTAATCATCTTTTCTAATAATTTCAATAACATTATAATTAGAATCCAAACCCCATAAAAATGAATGTGATTGAAACTGAAAGGCCCCTGTAATCAGAGGGTGAATGATTGAGTAGTGGTCAAAGAGGGGTGTATTGCGCAAGTGATGTGTCCACTCAGAACACTGTTATGAGCTGGACATCATAGCATCAAACTGGTTGTGGAAGCATCCCTGATAGGTAATCCTGTGCTGAATTGGTGCATCTGTTTCTTTTTCTTTGTCACACCCAATTCTTTCTCCCTGGGATCCTACCACAAGCCTTGGGGTTGGCAGGTGCATGTTTGCCCCTCATACCCACTTTGAACTGAACTAAATCATCCCCCCAAGCAATATTACCTTGCACAGTGTCAGGAGGCGTGCTGGGGATCTCTTGTGAGTCTTCGTCTTCATGTATTTGGGATGTTAAGTTGTCATTGGTCATTGAAGAGAGGAAGAAAAATCATTACAGGGTACAGGGACAGAGTGTCAGGGAGGAAAGCAAATGGTAAAAACACATAGCACAGAAGCACTGAGGCCTCAGGGTGGAGAGTTGGGCTGTTCCAGGGGTGGGAAGCAGGTGTTTGGCCTCTAGGCTTTCCTCAAGCCCCCAGCAGAGCCCATCGTCCTTCTTGGAAAAGGCTGTGTGTGGTAGGTGGGCACACAGGATGGACCAGTTTAACAAAAAGGTGGAACCCTAGGCTTCTAGATATGACCAAGGTACCCTATGCAGGGGAGGCACAGGTGATGGACAAGGTGTGGTCCTCACCTGGAGTGATCCTTCTTTCCTGGGTGGCTTGGGGGAGAGCCACAGCAGGACCAGGAGGGCTGGATGGTTCGCCCAAGATCTCAGCTCTGTGCTGTGTGGACGCGCTGGGCTCACTGACACTGGGTGCATGGGGTGGGTGTTGGGGAGGCAGCAACGGCAGCAGTGTCTGGAGGGAGCGCCCTTCTGCTGGGTAGGCTGGGGCTTCGAGGAGTGTGGGCACAGTTCTGTTCCATTGTCGGTAGGAAATGACAGCTGCAATTGGTGAAGGAACACACGTCAACACCCTGGATACTCAGAATTATTAGGGAATTTCTTTGTGGGGGACCTCCAAAGGGTCAGGGGCATGCAGTAATCCATCTTCCTCCTCCCCCTCTCCTCCAGGTGTGGAGAACCAGTTCATCACCAGCATCATCCTTCAGTGGCTCCTTTCTTGTCTATGTGTTTAATCTGGGCATTCGACTCTGATTTAATACCAAAGTCGTTTCACACATAAAGCTGAGTTTGACTTCGTACTCAGGGATTTCATCTTCTTTAGCTTTTCTTAAATTTTGGTTTCAGAATTTAGACAATGTTGTATAATGTTATAATGTCAACACATGTTCCTGTTTTAATAAATAAACATATCACACTTCCCTGTAGCAAATAAGATGAAATAGAAATTCCTTCACAGGCTGCATCCTTTCTACTCTGGTTTCTGCTCATTTCTGCAGAACGAGCTTCTGTGCCTTCCTGCCTTGCAACCTGTGATGGGCCACACCAAACTTCCTCTCCATCGTCAATATTCCAGGCCCTTTGGCTTCCTACATGTCATTCCTTCCAAGGCCGGGTTTCTCTTGGGATTCTTCTCTATCATTTATTTCAGAAGTTTTCTTAATCAGGGAACAGAAAAAGGAAAGTAAGGTGAGATTTTGGAGCGGGGCCTACGACAAAAACAGAGGGCTGCAGATCCAGAAGGATGCACCAGCTGGGCTAGGGCGGGGCACTGCTGTTTATGGTGCCTCTGGCTCTCCCACTGACTCAGTGTGGCCTCTGAGAGCCCAGTCCTTCCTGTGCCCCCCTGATGCTGCCAGGAGCACGGGCTCAAGTGCACCTGTGCCTGCCTGGAAGGGCGCTTTTCTCTTTTGCTGCCCCTTTAGCTCAAGAAGTCATTTCTTTTTGGGGGTAGGCAACTCTTGCCATCAACAGTGGTGACCCCATTAACAAAATGTCACAGTGCAATGTGATCTACTGGTCCTCTTCCTGTTGTTCTCAGATATGTGAACCATGTGCCTCAGCCAAAGTGTGTGTCCTTAAACCTAAAGTGATTGCATCACCTCTTCTTTTTGCCTTGGCTTCTTCCTTCCCAGCTCTGTGTTTGCTCTCTCTCTCCTGCTCTTTATTTATCCAGCTCGTTTTTATTCCCAATGCACTTCAAGCTCTGCTTCCTTCTTTTACCTTCTCTCTGTCTTAAGCTCCCTCTCCTCTGTCCTCCAGCTTTTTTTTTTTTTTTTGTCCTCCAGCTTTACACTCTCCCTTCCACCCGTCTTTGTTTAAAAGAGGGATGGAAAACTCAGGACCTGGGGTTCGGAAACCCAAGTAGGGCAGCTGGCTCTGCTCTTAACAGACAAGGAACTTTGGGAAAGATATTCTGAGCTTTGATTTCTTCATATGTCGGATGGGGATAATACCGACTTCACAGGATTGTTTTAAAGATGAGATAATCATAGAAAGTGCTTGAGATGATGCCTAGTACATAGTAAGTACTCAAAAAAAAAAGATACTTATTATCCATCCCTATTCATTTCTCTTCCCCTCTGGCTCTCCTTATCCTTCTACCAGACTGAGTCTCTGCAACTGCATTTCCCCAGAGACTGTCCAGTGGGGTAAACGGTACAAACTTCCCTCACTTCATAGAACAGGTAAGACAGAAATGTGTCCTCTAGAAACTCCTCTTAAGAGAACTGGAGCCAAAGGCTGCTCTTCCTGGTGCACCTATGAGAGAGTACACTCCCTACCTTCTCAGAGAACTGGACATTTGAAGTTCATAATTCTACGGGGCTGAAAGCCAACCCAAACTTTGAGCACAGCAGCTTCCGGCATGCTTTTATAGCCCAAAAGATATTCAAGAAGCCTCGTACCATTTTTGAAGCCCTTGAGAATTGTCTTCAGGTTGGGGTATTCATACAGGTTAATTTGGCTGAACAATATCTCCAGAAATGACAGGTTGAAGGTCTTCTCCAGGTGAGTGAGGATGTTGTACACCACTCTGGGTATGGGGACCTTATTTCTATAGGCTTCCATGGATTCCTTAAAAAATGGAATCGAGGATTATTATAAATGACTATAAAATGGAATGGAAGTTTATTACACATCTGTCATTCTCTAAGTTGTAAGAATGATATTTTGTTCTTTTAAGAAGGAATTTAATACAAATATACAGTCAAACTTTAATATAGAGAAATCACAGTTCCACATGTTTACTTTTGGAACTTCACATATATTTGGATTGTTAGTCATAGGAATAAATAACTTAGCCTTCTTTAAAATAAGTCTGCTTTGTGAGTCTTATTTTAGGTACATTTGAGGGAAGAGAGAAATTTTAGGGAAGTAAAGGAGAGTCAAAGGCTGCTACTGTGCAAATTCTCTAAGACTCTGGGCAGAACTCTGTAGCAATGCAACCAATTAGTTGGTCTCAAATGGCAATTCTGCGTGTTAACCTCTGTTCACTCTCTCGGACTGGTGATGACCTGAATGGCTTCTAGCCACAGGGAAATCAGCCAGAGAACTCCTCTTCATGAGAGCTTGGCCTAAAGGAGAAACACGGCAGGAGAGAATTGACTGCATAAGAGTTACTGAGCACTAAGGACTAGGACTAGGCTAGTCCTTAGGTACATGGAAATGGATAAGACCAACATGGTGCTATCCATTCTGAGGGAGAGACACTGTCAGGAGAAGATGGGCATTAAATAATAAGCACAAATTAAAGAATGCCCGGTTGCTATTGAGAGAAGTGTTATGAGAGGAAAGCACAGATTTCTTTGAGAAATCAGTTAGATGAGTGAGTGGGTTAAGGAAGCCTCTCTGGGGATTGACATCTGGTCTGTGACCTGAAAAGGGATTGGAGCCAACCAGGCCAAGATGGGGAGAAGATCGTTGAACTATTGCTGTACTTCCCTAAGCCTGGGGCTCAGGAAATGCATAAAACCTCCCAAATTATGAAAAGAATGCCATTTTTTGTCCATGTAGCCATATTTTCCAATGCCTGTCTTGCTTCACATCTGAATGAACTTTGCCCAAGAAGCTCTTAGGAATTGGGAGGGTGGCCTTGTGAGCTGAATGGTGTCACTCTTCCAAAAAGATATGTCCACTTGAAACCTGTAAATGTGACCTTACTTGGAAAAAGGATCTTTGCAGATATAATTAATTTAGGATATTGAGATGAGATTATCCTGGGTGAAGGTGGGCTCTAAATCACAGTGACAAGTGTGGGAAGAGAATGGGAAAAGACAAGGAAAGGAAAAGATGATGTAGAGATTAAAACAGTGGTTGTTAAGTGATTTTTCTACCAGCCAAGGAACACAAAGAATTGCTGGTACCACCAGAAGGTGGGAGAGTCAAAAAATGGATTCTCTGTCAGAGCCTCTAGAAGGAACCAACCCTGCCAACACCTTGATTTTGTACTTCTGGCTTCCAAAACTGTGAGGTGATAAGTTTCTTTTGTTTTAAGCCACCTGTGTTGACATTATCTGTATGGCAGCCCCGTGACCCTGTTTTTCCCTGATAATGAACATTTTGGACTAGGCTTCCAAGCTCTAGAAGCACTAGACATTTGTAGTTTGAAACTTCAATAATTGGGACTTCTTGGTGGGACCGGGCTGCCACGGGAAAGCAGGCAGCGTGACTCACCCTGTACATTGTCTCAGTGATGATAGAATTGTCTCGGAGGCCTTCGAGGAAGGGAAATGGTTTGTAGATGGCATAGGCAATCTCTAGCTTCTGGTATACAAAGTGCTGGTGAAGAGTCTCTTCTATGGCCTTGGTCAAGGTGGGCATCCTATGAAAAAGGAGAAGAGAGGGAAGACTCTGGGAACTTGGGGACCTGCTTTTTGCACTCATTGGGTATCTTCAGACCAGCATCCTGGTCCCAAAAGCAAATCTTAGCAGTCTGCAAAGCAATGCCCGCCTCAAAGGCTCATGGGCACAAGAGGCAATGACAATGCCTCATGGAGGCAGAAAATGACCAGCAATATAATGCCAAAATCCCAAAGGGGCTGCTGGTAAACATATTAAAAATAGGTAATATTTGTTGAGTACTTCCTATGTGTTAGACTTTGTTCTAAGGATTTCACATGCAGTAACTTATTTGATCTTCATAAAACCCTTGCAAGATGGTTACTATGATTGTACCCATTATGTTGAGGAGACTGAGACATAGGGATGTTTACTAACTTGCCCTAAATCTCACAAGTATGCCCTTTATGGTCATAAGTTTTTTTTGTTTTGTTTTGGTTTTTATTTTTGGTCATAAGTTCTATGGTCCATAGCTATGTTGACTGAATTAAGATTGCCTGGGCGTCAGCTTAAGGCAGACACCAGCAAAGCTTGTAAAGAGGAATCACCCAATAATGAGCAGTAAGAGGAAAATTGATATTTAGAGACTTTAGTAAACCACCTACAATCTTTGACACACAAGTAGGCGAAACATAAACAGACATGAGAGATGTGAAAGACACAACTAGTAAAGGTAACTGATTTATTATATGTATCGATTTCATATCTCTAGAATAGATAAGCGCCATTCCTGTGCTCATGCGACACATAAAAATTAGCCATTGATAGGCCAGGAGAAAAAATCAATAAGTCATAATAGGCATAAAACTTCAGATGACATTCCTGACAAATTGTCAAGAGAAATACTAACAAAAAGTTCAATCATTCAGTGATTTTTTTTAAAAAAACAAGAGATCTCATTTTTTCAACTTCATTTTGTGTAAGACTGAAAATTAAGCTATAATTAATGACTGTTTCTAGGACTAATCCCAGTGGTAAATTGAGCAACCCTTCTCTCCCTACTCATTCCCACATCCTTTGACAGTAAAAAATAAACATATTGTAAAAATAGGATAAACCATAACAGTACTGGAAAAGAAAAGATGCCATAAAGGATTTTATTATACTAGTGAAGAAATCCTGGAAGATTGAGAACAGGTGGAAGAGAAATCTAGCATCCATGACATAGAATCCATGATACAGAGAAGAATACTGCAAAGATCAGGACAGAGCCTGAGAAAGCCGGAGTGAACACATGGTAAGAAGAGGAAGGGGCCCTGGGGTTACATTTAGGATGATTAATTATACAACAGCATTCAGAACATAATATCCACCAGGTTCCTTATTCTTCATCTGTTATGATTCTCAACAATGAAAGCTAGACCCAGAGAGGTTAAGTAACTAGTCCAAGGTTGGCAAAGTAGAGCTTTTCAGACTAAAGCCCCATTTTTTACTAGTGCATGATATTGGGTCTCATATGCGAGTGTTCAGATTTTTATCATGTAAAGAAGTCTTGGGATCCCTGGGTGGCGCAGTGGTTTGGCGCCTGCCTTTGGCCCAGGGCGCGATCCTGGAGACCCGGGATCGAATCCCACGTCGGGCTCCCAGTGCATGGAGCCTGCTTCTCCCTCTGCCTGTGTCTCTGCCTCTCTCTCTCTCACTGTGTGCCTATCATAAATAAATAAAAATTAAAAAAAAAAAGTCTTAAAAACGGATAAGCAAAAGACAAACATCCATGTAGAAAATTTTTCAAAAAGAAAGAAGAAAGAAAGAAAGAAAGAAAGAAAGAAAGAAAGAAAGAGTGTCAGACAGACAATAAGCAATTAGGTCAAGTGTGCAATAAATATATAAGAAAACATGGCAATTCACTAGTAGTTGCAACAGCACAGAAGAAGATAACTTTATAATGTTTACCTATCAAATTGTCCGACATAAAGAATGAAAGCAATAATCAGAGATGTTCCTGGTGAGATTATAAACAGGTCCAAATGTTCTGGAGGCTAATTTAACAATCAAGGTCAAATGTTCTAAAGTATGTATTTCCTTGAGTCCCAAATTTCACTTCTAGGAATTTATTTCAAGGAAGCAATTATAAATGTGCTTAAGAAAAATATATAAAAAGTTCACTAGAGAGGAAATTAAATGTTCTCTCCCTATTGTCTCTTTTCCACCAACTACTGCTAGTCACTTGGGCAATGGATAATAATTGAATTAATTGCGCATTTGGGGCAGAGTGTAAATCACAGAGCACAGAAGAGGACAGTAGAGAGCAAATCCCAGTTCTGTTCACAACAGTGGGCTAAAATACAGGGAAAAAAGAGTTGAGTTGTGTCTCTGCTCCCTCCACCACTCCCACGTCTGTCCCCCTTTCTCAGAGTCTCTGGTTAAATCCCACATGCCTCTCTATCTTTGGAAGACAATATTTTACAAAGAGAGAGGCTCACAGTTTCAATAGTTGAGTTCCACCCTGTAGCTGCTGCCAGGAAATTAACTATCAGAGCTCAACCACCAAAAAAATGAAGAATAAAGCAGCTGAGACAAAAACCCACCTGGATGCTAGGTCTGCCATCTGCTCCTTCCCCTTTCACCAGTCCAGGGGCTGGGCCCTGGGATCACTCTTGGAAGACGGAGAAAACAGCAGGGAGATGCCAGTGGGTGAAACAGGAAGTCTGTGCTTTGCCACATGCAGTGAGGGCCAGGCTTCCGGAGAAAAGAAAAGTGAAAGTATTTGGAGCACGTCGAGCAGGAAGCTGAAGACGGTGCCTGAGCCTCCCTCCATCTCCCTCCAGACACTTGTGAGGTTCCTGGGGTGTTTGGGGGAGGTGGGGGCGCTGCCATCCAGACCAGCCTGGGGAGGGGCGTGCAGAGGGGAGGAGGCATAGGGGTCCAGCCCCAGGGGCCACAGGAGCTGTACTGGGAATCTACTATCTGTGTGTTTCCCTTCTCACTTCTGCTTCCCCAGGACTTGCCCTTACTCTGTACTTTTTTTGGGGGGTGGGCATGAAAATGTTCCCATACTGAATTGTGGTGATGGTTATACGACTGAATAAATTTACTAGAAATCATCAAGCTTTAGAAAACAAGCAAAAGGGGAGGGGAGGGGACTCAGAAATGCCCAAAATTTGTCAGGATAAAAATATTGCCTAAGAAAGTTGAGATTACAGGGAACCTGAATATAATCTGAAGTCATGCAGAGGTAGGCGGACCTCTGGGCAGGAAAGTGGCCAGGGGCCAGGCAGGCATTTGAGGGCTGGGGATGTGAAGTCAGCTCTAAGGCAGAGCCGGGGCTGAGAGAAGACACTAGAACAGTCACTTCAGGGAAAGCAATATATCCCCTCCACACACCCTTTAAAGATTTCCTTATGTACACTGGCATGTAAGGCCTCTGAGAAACCCCATAACATAGAAATTAGTTTAACTTTATTTAAATCAATAATTAGCAAATGTGTTATACCCATGAGTACCCCTTACCAGGACATCCATATGCTCCTCGGGAAAAAAAAAAAAAAAAGATGGGAAAAACAGTTCTGGGGTCTCAGAAGCCTTGAAACCAAGGTTCACCTGTTTGAATGAGAGCCCTTCCATGCTTGCTATGGAGGCACCAGCATGGCCGAGCAGATTCTAGAGTAACAGGCCCAGCCCTGGTGCTGGTAGGTCACCACTGTAAGGATGATAGAAGCCTAGGAGCCTCAGGAGGTCCATGGTAATGGAAGGAGGCCCAGGAGTCAACGTGATGCCCACTGCTGAGGAGAGGGTGCTGTGGTGCCCCAGCACTCCAGAGCACACAGAACTGTGCAGTGCAGGGACGTGGGCAGTGAGAGGGATTTGGACCCCAGCTGTCACACCTCATTTACGTGAAGCCCTCCGCTTACCCTGGAAAACCCTTTCATGGACATTGGACATCCCAGCCTGGAACCAAGAATCTCCTCCTTTAGACCTGCCAAGAGATAGATTAGGCAAAGGAAAAATAAAAACAAAAACCGACAGGAGTGGAAACATAAACGCCAGATTGGACAGAAATGATTAAACTGGAAAAAGATGTGAATAAAGAAAAAAGATGTTTTTATCTAAGCAACACATGCTTGGGAATAATGGGAAAAATTCAGCTGTTATTTCAATGACATACGTACTGAGAATTTACTAAAATTATGTATAATTCCTTTTTAGCTCAATTTTATTGAGGTATAAAACACATTCATCTTAAGTGTACATTTAACTTGATGAGTTTTAGCAAATGTAATCATAATTACAATTAAGATACAGATCATTTCCATCATTCCAGAAAGTTCCCTTGTATCCTTGGCAGAGAGCCTCCTCCCCCACCCCAGCATCAGGCAACCACTCATGTGCTTCCTATACTATAGACTCTTTTCGTCTGTATCAAAGTCTTACATAAATGAAAAACATACAATATGTGCCACACATATTTTGATGTGTGGCTTCTTGGGGTCATCATAATGCTTTTGAGAGTCACCTCTGTTGTTGAGGGTCAATAATTTATTCCTCCTTAGCAGGTGTGCTGGCCAACTCTTGTTTGTCCTGTCCGATCACCATGATGTCATGAAGGTAATCAATCGGTGTGACGTTCTGTGGGATGTCCAGGTGGATCCAGATCTCTTTGAATGATATTATGACAAGAGGCAGGTGAGTTAATATAACCCCAAGACAAAACTGTAAATGAATGCTCTTTTCTGTCAAACTTTCTGATCCTCCTTTCTAACCAGAATGGAAGGAGCGTATTTGCCAAATCAATGGCCACGCACCATGTGCCCAAGGGCCGTGGAGTGGCCTGGGCTGGGGATTTTACTGCCCAGACTGCTTATTTGCTTATCCCCAGTCTTTGGCCTTCCTGTAAATTCTGGGAGTTACCCAGTATACGTCTAAGAAATTGATTTCCTGCCTGGGTGTCAGTTTTGGTACTCATACCCTGAAACTCTAACTGCTTAAAAGTTGGTATCAGAGAATGAATTGTGGGCAATGAATCTGCAGAAATTTGACCAATATGAGCTTGGTTATCTGATCTCCCTGGACATATAAGTAGTGGACATCCCATTACTGTTCAAAGATGGGAGTTTGGTAGACTTTGGCAAGCAGGGGCAAAGCGCTGGTTTGTGATCAGGACTCTGCAGTTCACTTTCCCTATCCCAAGTACCAGATCTTAGCATGCTTAGCAAAATGGAGAGGAATTTTTCAGGTAGAAAGAAAGCATTGACTGGCCTTCAGAGATTACCACCTACTTGCCCTAAGTTTGGTGGGAAAACAGAGAAAGGAGGGAGGCCAGAATCTTATCCCATAGGTCATAGGGAAGAGAAAGAAAACAACTCTACCCCTGTGTTAGGGACCAGGGACTCTCTGATGGGCATAGATGGTCTTGGTCCAGGATCTGTTATCTCAGGGAAATTGATTCTCTAGTGAATATAGAGAAAAACAAGATGGTGGGAGATACAAGCTAAAATTCCAGCTTATTGTTATTTGGGCTAACGCAGGATACTGCAAACTAAGACTTGCTTGTAAACTTGATGGGAGTACCCCTGAGAAATGCCAAGGACCTTGTGCTTCTAAGCAAGAGAAACTGGCACATTTATATCATTGCCCAGCTGAGTGGTGGCCTGGGTCTGCCTGCTGCTTAAGGGCAGGAAGAGGAGAGACAGGGGACACCCCAGTGGGCTCTTGCAGTCCATGCCAGGCCTTGTCTGGGCCACCGCGCCCCATGTGAGAGAACAGCTATGCCCAACAGAAAGCCTCAGCCGAACAGCCTCTTTCTCCCACCAAGTGAGAGAGGGAGAGAGAAAGGACGGGCAGTGGGTGCCGGCAGGCAGTCCCATGTGTGCAGCCCCTGGTAGGCGCATGCTGCCCCCACCCACTGGCAAAGACTTCCCCTGAAATCTGGAATCTGTCCCCCAGATGGATGCTTACTTCTTTGGAGGAAAGAAGAGCAGAAGTGGGCAGCAGGGTAGAAATCTCTGGCCCCCTATACTTTGCAAACAGATCTATGCTAATTCCTAGCACATCTAGAATGAGCCAGAATGGGACACTTGGGTGGCTCAGCAGTTTGGCGCCTGCCTTCAGCTCAGGGCGTGATCCTGGAGACCCGGGATGGAGTCCTGCGTCGGGCTCCCTGCATTGAGCCTGCTTCTCGCCCTGCCTGTGTCTCTGACTCTCTCTCTCTCTCTCTCTGTGTGTGTGTGTGTGTCTCTGATGAAAAAATAAATAAATAAAATCTTTAAAAAAATAGAATGAGCTAGAAGAAGCAGGATTCGGTAAAACATACTTTGGAAAAATCCTGCTTTGCTTCTGGCTCCCCAGGCCTTGCCTGCTTAGGCCCACCGCTCTGACCAAGGCCCTGGATTCTACGGGTGCCCTGGCTCCCATTTGCCTGCCTTGGATCCATTGTCCTTTCTGGATTTCTAGTCCTCCGGTTTTGTTCACTGTACTTGTGCTTTGCTCCCACTTCTTTTTCTTCCAAGTTTATGCTGATCCAGTGTGTTTTTGTAAGTTGCTTCAAATCTTTTACAGCATGAAGGCCGGCTATGTGTAAAAAAAAAAAATTATGCACAAACACAAATGTGATGCACTTGGTAGCTAACATCACATTGTCCTTTAAGGTCTAGTAATGTCAGTGTCAACCCCAAACCCTTTCTTCATCAACCATGAGAAGCTTGTCACCCCAATTTCAGTGACTAGTTGAAGCACAGTTTTTTTCTAATCACCCTGGCATTTGTAAAGTGCCTGTGTATTCAAGAAAACTCAGACTGGCAGGCCAGGCATCTCTGCACAAACTTGGCACTTCCCTCTCGTTGCAGGAGTGTGGACTTTTCTCCGGCCTCTGGCTGCTTTCCAGCAATTTTGAGGAACCTCTTTCCCACCTTATAACCCGGAGCATTTTTGCCCTTCTCAGCCCCAAGTCCAGTCCAGGTTGAGTACTGTACCTGGCCAGTCCACCCTTCCAGAGAAGACCTGAAATGTCTGGCTTTCCTTCTTCCCTCTCACGATCACCTGAGCAGAGAGGCAGGGGCAAACGTGGAGGTCACTTCCTGCCCACATGTACTATGCCCTCTCACCTGGAAACAACCTGAATCCAGCTGAGACCTTTTTGCTCTCTCTTTCCTTTGCATGAGCAGTGACCCATCTATCATGGAAATCCAGGAGGCCCTGCTCCTCCCTCCCTGGGGCTGAGAATTGCCCTAGAGATTGGGCAGTGGGGAAGCTAGGGTGGGTATAGCTGCATCACCCTGTTCAGCAATTTCGCTTTTACCCTTTGGGTGCGACACACAAGAGATCAATCAACTGGTAGACCTTCTCCTCAGAGCTCCCAGAAGGCACAAAGGCAGGAAGCGTCTGCTGCAGGTTGATCCTGGACCAGCTCCATGACTCGGTGGGGTGGAAGCTGGCAGGTGGAGGCAGCCGGTTCAACCACTGGCCAGTCCTCACCTCTTGTTTTTGTTCCCCATCTCCTGTTAAGGTCGGCATCCGCAGTGGTTATGTCTGTCTTCACATTCATCCCACAGGAGTAGGACAGAATGAGATTACACATAAATAAATAATAGGGACATTAGATTTCTTAAATCACAGCAGATTGGCTGCTGGGGAAATGTGGGTCCACCTTGACTCATATCACCTTATTTCCTTGCAAAAGCCATGCAGCTGGACTGGCGTTGGTGGATCTGTCTGGTCCTCCTGAGGCCTCATCACTGCAGGGTTCTATGACTCCCATGCCCTACGAATCTTCTCATTTTCCCCATGCCTCCTCTCTCCCTACCCCGACCCCAAATGACAACTCTGCCTAGAAAAGTTCCTTTTAGAAAAAGTAAAATTGAAATTAGATGCTTGTTGTCAAACTTCCGGTTTCTGGGTGGTGGGGGAAAGTTCTGCTCAGAGTCCCTCTGAGCAGGCTTCTGAACACCAACAAGTGAGGGGAAGTGGAAGTAGACCCAATATTAGCAAATGCAACTAGGTGGGGAGGGAGCCGTTCCTTTATGTGTTCTGGGTTGTTAACACATTTGACTAGGGAAGGAAGGGAGTTGTCTTTTAAAGATACAAGGCAGACACATCAACACGTTCTTATTAAAAATTAAAGCAAGGTGAAAGTGTATGGAAACCACTCTAACCCAGGATCTAATGCTGTCTGGGTCCCAAGAAGGCACCAGCTTTGATACCAACAGCTGCAGCCAGGTAGGTGCTCAGCACCCAGCATCCTCACTCTGGCAGCCGGGGATGCGGCCCGCAGCTGCTCCTGCACCTGTTTCCGAGAGATGGGAGATGATAATGTCTGTCTTCTCCCTTTCCTTTGTTAGCTTTGCTAGAAGTTTATCAATTGTATTGATTTTTCCAAAAAAAAAAATCAGCTTTTGGCTTCATTGATATTCTGATATTTTCCTGTTCAGTTTCATTGATTTCCACTCTAATTTTTAGGATTTATTTTTCTGCTTGCGTTTGATCTCAGTTTCTCTTTTTTGTCTAGTTTCTATAGGTAGATGCTTAGATTATTCATTTAGATCTTTCTTAAAAAAAAGAAAAAGAAAAAGAAAAAAGGACACCTGGGTGACTCAGAGGTTGAGTGCCTGCCTTTGGCCCAGGGCATGATCGTGGAGTCCTGGGATCGAGTCCCACATCGGGCTCCCTGCATGGAGCCTGCTTCTCCCTCTGCCTGTGTCTCTGCCTCTCTCTGTATCTCTCATGAATAAATAGATCAATCAATCAATCTTTCTTCATGTCTAATATGTGCATTCAATGCTGTGCATTTCCCTCTGAGCACTGCTTTTGTTACATGCCACAAATTTTCATAAGTTGTGTTTTCATTTTCCCTTAGCTCAAAATATTTTGCAATTTCTCTTGAGATTTCTTCTTTAACCCTAGAAGTGTGTTCTTTAACTCCAGGTATTTGGAGAGTTTTCCAGCTATCGGTTATTTCTACTTTTATTTTATTGTGCTCTGAGGACATATTTTTAAATGATTTCTATCCCTTGAGATTTGTTAGGGTACGTTTTATAGCCCCAAATATGGCATATTTTAGTAAATATTCCATGCGAGCTTGAGGGGTATGTGTATTTTGTTGTTGAGTGGAATCCTCTATAAATGTCAATTAGATCAGACTGATTGATGGTGCTGTTCAGGTCAACTGTATTCTTACTGATTTTCTGCCTGCTTGATCTATTAATTACTAAAATAGGGGCATTGGCATCTCCAACAATTGTAGTGGATTTGTGTTTCTTCTTGTAGTTCTGTCAATTTTTGGATCATGTACTTTGATGCTACTTTGTTAGTTGCATGCACGTTAAGGATTGCTGTGTCTTCCTAGAGAAATTGCCCCCTTTATCACTCTGTAATGCTCCTCTTTGGCTCTGAGAATTTTCCTTGTTCTGAAGTCTGCTTTGTCCAAAATTAATATAACTACCCCAGCTTTCCTTTGATTAATGTTGGCATGGTACATCTTTTTCCATCATTTTACTTTGATCCTATCTGTGGTTTTATGTTTAAGGTGGCTTTCTTATAGACAGTATATAGTTGGGTATTTTTTTGTTTTGTTTTGTTTTTTTCACTCTATTGATCTTTGTCTTTTTTTTAAAGATTTTATTTATTTACTTGACAGAGAGAGAGGGAGAGAGAGAGAGAAAGAGCACAAACAGGGGGAGTAGCTGGCAGAGGGAGAGGGAGAAGTAGGCTTTCATCTGAGCAGGGAGCCTGATGCAATGCGGGGCTCAGTCCCAGGACCCTAAGATCATGACCTGAGCCAAAGGCAGACACTTAACCCCTTATGTGACTGAGCCACCCAGGTGCCCCAATTTTTGTATTTTAATTGTATTGAGATCATTCACATTCAGAGTATTCGTGTAGTTGGATTAATAATGAATAGAAAGTAGTTTGCAAAAGTTTTCTACTCGTTATTCTTATCTTTGTTTCTACTTTTTCTTCCTTTCTTTTTCTGCCTTTTATGGTTTTAATTGAACATTTTATGACCCCATTTTCTCTTCTCCTCTAGCATATGAATTACACTTCTTTTAAAACATTTTTAGTGCTTTCCCTAGAGGTTGCAATATATATTTACAACTAGTCATATCAGTTATTTATTTACTTATTTATTTATTTTTATTTTGCTTGACACCATTCATTTTCTTCATATCCATCCTTTCAAATTACACTATCCTGCTTCATGGGTTATGCATGCATCTTATGACAGAATGTGACAAACTTCTCTCTCCTGTCCTTACCAACATTGCTGTTGTCATTTTGCTTTTCCAAATGCTTTAATCACGTAGTTGGTATTATTACTTTGAACAAACAGCTATCTTTTAGATCCAATTGAGAATGGGAAATTAGTCAGAACTCCAAAAGCTAGCTTTTGTTCATGTAGATTACATCGATTGATATTTACCAATTAAGAATTGAAACTTTGAGCACCTAAATATTTATTTGTTCATTAAAAAAAATAATAATGAACTCATTACCTGCTAATATAAATGACATATTTTATGAAAAGTAACAGTGTTTTTTACTTTATTTTCTAAAATATAGTAAATTAGTAAGAAGATTAGCAAGGTTTTATTTTTCACAGATCTCTTTAATAGTTGGCTCAGTAGAAGACAGCTGGATTCTTCGAGTGGCTCTGCATTCAATCTGCTGTGATGCCACAGAACACATAGCCTCTGGGAAGTTCCACTAAACATGTGTGACAGGACAAGAGAGAAAAGGGTTAATAAGACCTTAGTACTATTATGAAAACAGTTTTGACCCTGGTCATACCTGAAAGGGTCTCACACAATCCCAGGGGTCCCTGGACCATACTTTGAGAATCACTATTTTAAAATAATTTTTGAGACATGCTTTTGTTTTCAATAAAATCTATGGGCTTTAGACTAAAATACTAATCAGTATTTTAACTTATTTTAGTGATCCTTGTCATTTCTTATGTAACCAAACTTTGCTGGTACTGATTTCTTAATTCTCTTATTGTAGCACATCATCAAATAATTTGTCCCAGAGAGTGTGTCGGAAGAAAGGAGTAGATTATTCTATTGGAAAAACGATGCCAAAATCTTGGTGAGTCACTGGCCTCTGCTTCAGGGAAGCCTCTCCTTGGACTCTGTCTCTGGCTGATGAGTAGCTGCCATCTGAAATGACAGCCACTGTAACAGAGGAACAGTGAGCATGACTGATCAGCTGTTAGCTCAAAATTCTGCCAAAGTGATACCTATCAGTCCAAGGCGGCAGGGAGATGCAATCTTACTCTTGCCCAGAAGTAAAGAACATGGCACTGAAAATTGTGCGACCAACACAAATGGTGCAGGAGTGAAATATTTTCTGAGCCCTTGCACAACTGTTTGTTTTAATTGAAGTTTGATTGACACACGCTGTTACAGTCATTTCAGATGTACATTATGCTCTGCTCACCACAGTGTACCTTGCATAAATATTTTGCCTCCACACATGAATAACTGATCAGGGTATATATTTTTTAGTCATTTCCTTTTGCCTCTGAATCTGTAGATTTGCATAACTGTTTTAGACATAGAGGGTTTCGAGTTTAGTTGCTGGAGTTCCCCCACCTGCCCCTTGAGAGTTGTTACCAGCTGTGCTCTGGGAAAATTCTCTCCTTATTTTATAAGCATTTTAGCTAATCTTCTTGTCTTATTTTTTAAAAAAGATTTTATTTATTTATTCATGAGAGACATACAGAGAGAAAGAGAGAGAGAGGCAGAGACACAGGCAGAGGGAGAAGCAGGCTCCATGCCGGGAGCCCGACGTGGGACTCGATCCCCTGTCTCCAGGATCAGGCCCTGGGCCCAAGGCAGCGCTAAACTGCTGAACCACCCATCATTTTAAATTTCCAGGCCCATTGTCTTATTTTCTGATCTTTTCTTTATAGCATCCTGGACCATTCGTAGGTTACTACTTGTTTTTAGGAAAGTCTCTTCTGTCCCCAGCACTATTTCTATGTAGGCTGGGGTAATTTTTGTTCTTTGCTCATCTTGATTCCGCTCCATCCTGTGGTAGGTTTCACAAATGTGTGTGGCCTATTGTTTGTTCCTACTTAAGGGAGAGGCACTGAAAAGCTATTTTGCAACTCCATTTGTTGAGATGGGCTTGAAAACCTGTGGTCTGGGCTGTGTGAATCCCAAATGTCTGAAGATGAAAGACTTTTTTTTTCCTGTAGTCATCTAATATTTTTCTTAGGAAGCAGCCTCTAGTCTCTTGCCTGGATGTTAGTGCACCACACGGTGGAGTCAGAGAGGAGCTGGGGAGCAGATCATTTAAGAATTTAGGATTTTAGGATTGCTGGCTCACACTTTCATCTCCCTTCCAGGCTCCATTTGCCTCTGGGAGGCTGCAGGACACACTGGGCCCTTTCCTTGCCTATGGGATTATCTGCCACTGGCCACAGCAGTTAGCCTCAAATCACTTTTCTCTTCCAAACTTTGGTTTCAATTTCTCATCTAACTCCCTTTCTTTAGTCATTGTGCCTCTAATTTCCTTACTCTTATTTTAGGGAGTCCTCTGTCTGAGGGGAGCAAAGCACTTGTCTGTGGTCAACTATCTTTAACCAGAAGTATTTTTTATTTTTTAAAGGAATTCAGGGAAGGAATGGGCTTCATTCTATGCTAATACTATATGAAAGGGAAATTCCAATAACCCTGTTATGGTGGGATTAAAAAAAAATCTTATAAGCATTTACACCTTTTAGAATTTCAAAGAAGTTTATCAAGATATTGTCAGCAAAGGGAACCACTTATCCTGTAGAACCAGAATTACAAAGCTTTTTGAGTTTAAAAATTACTTTTCCCAGGTATGACCATATGTTTGGAATCTAGGGGTCTTTCAGGCCTCCAAGAAGAGATAACACTTCCACGGCAGGTTTAGATACAGAATGACAAGTCCTACTTTTGAATATACACACAAGTCTCTCTATCAAACTGGAGAAAACCACATATTCTTGTGACTGTTAATCGAAACCTTACAGAGGGGTGTCTTTGACCTGATTTTACGACGCGGAATACCAATCTTGCTCCTGCATCATAGATGGGAGAGATCTACCTCTGTTGCGTCTTTTCCTTGAGATTTCTTCTTTTTGTAGCTAGCTAAGAAGACTTCCTGTTCAATTGTTCTACACGCTCAACACACACATCCTATTCAAGCTTCCCCACATCCTATAAATGGATACCATTACTACTCTTGTGTCACATCAGGCAACTGAATCTCACAAAGTTGGTCAAGGCTGGAGCAAGTAAGAAGCCCAGCCAGGTTGTGTCCTCAAATAATCTGCATCCAGAGCCTGCACTTGCGTTTGTGTAAATTCATTACGGAGTGGGCAAATTGGGGCGCCTGGGTGGCTCAGTCGGTTGGGTGCCCGCCTTCGGCTTGGATGGTGATCCTGGAGTCCCGGGATCAAGCCCCGCGTTGGGGTCCTGGCTCAGTGGGGAGTCTGCTTCTCCCTTAGGCCCTCCCCCTGCTTGTGCTCTCTCTCAAATAAATAAATAAATAATATTTAATAAAAAAAAGAAAGAAAAGGGGAACTTGAACATGCTTTTGCAAAACTATACCTTCCCTTCCCTGTTTATAATACCACACAGTGGGGTCAATGAACAATCTGGAATAACCAAGAATGATCTCGCTCTGTCTAATAGAGGCAAACCACCGATGGAGCATATTAGACAGGAGAATGTGAGGGAAAGCTCTCAGAGGTGATGACCAAGCTATTCTTGAAAAAGAGGAGGGTTCTTCTAGGCAGAGGATATTCAGGGTAGTATTCTGCTTGCAGAATGCATTCCTTGCAGGGTTTCATCTAAGTCAGTGATTTTGAGAGACAGTCTGAGAAAGAGAGAGAGAGAGTGCACAAGTGGGCGAAGGAGCAGAGGGAGAGGGACAAGCAGATGCCAGGCTGGGCGTGGAGCCTGACTTGGGGCTCAATCTCACCCAAGACATCATGACCTGAGCCAAAATCAGGAGTCAGCCACTTAACCAATTAAGCCACTCAGGCGCCCCAACTAAGTCAGTGATTTTAATTGTATAATATACAATGGAATCTCCATAAACACACCAGACAGGACAGGATAAAGGGAAAGAACCCGGGGCACAGGTCAAGAGGACTTTTCTGCCTTGATGCCAGACCATATGTGTTACGTGTATTCTTTTAACTGCAGAAAAAGCTTCCTAATATAGATAAAAGCGAAGTAAAGTTGGCTTGACAGCCATATTGGCTGAAATTCTGAAGCATGACAATTCTCAGAGTCTATGAAGGTACAGAGAAAAACTCTCATGAAATCCTGGCAGGGCTGTAAACTAATCAGTTTGAAAAATAATTTAGCAACTTAAAGATTTGAAGGTAGTAGACCCAATGAGCCTGCAATTCACTTCTAGATACAAATGCTAAAGAAATCGGGATGCCTGGGTGGCTCAGCGGTTGAGCGTCTGCCTTTGGTTCAGGTCATGATCCTGGAGTCCTGGGATCGAGTTCCACATTGGGCTCCCTGCATGGAGCCTGCTTCTCGCTCTGTGTCTCTGCTTCTCTCTGTGTGTCTCTCATGAATAAATAAATAAAATATTTTTTAAAAAGAAATGATTGTCATATACATGTAAGGAGATATAAACAAGGATGGTCTCCAAAATACTGTTCATAATACCAAAAAAAAAAAAAAAGGATAGACCTAAACATTTACCAGTAAAGGATTATTAGGTAAATATTGTCCATATTTATGTAAAATATTCCTACACAGCAGTTAAAACGTACTGATTTGAATTAAAATATCAGTATGGATGCCTTGTAAATATCATGATACATGGAAAAAGGCAAATAACGGGCATACCTTGTTTAAGATAGACTTGCCGATCAGTAGTAGGTTCTGTAATATTACCTTAGTTGTTTTTTTATTTTTTTGTGTGTGTGTGAACTTTTAAAAACAATCTGCATTAGTCAGGGTTCTTCAGAGAAACAGAAAAGATAAAATGTGTCTGTGCGTGTGTAAAAGAGATTTATTATAAGGAATTAGCTCACATGAATACGGATGTTGGCAATTCCAAAATCTGCAGTGCGGGCTGGCAGACTGGAGCCCCAGCAGAGCCAATGGCACAGTTCAAGTCTGAAAATGGTCTGTTGGTGAATTCCTTCCTTCATGGAGAGGTCAGTCTTTTTGTTCTATTTGGGTCTTCAATTGATTAGACGAGGCCCACCCACCTTATAGAGGGCCTGCTTATTCAAAGTCCATCAATTTAAATGTTCATCTCATCCCCAAACCTGTTCCAAATTGACACATTAAGTTCACCATCATGGTATCCTATCAATTCCTATAGAGATACTAACACTTTTAAGTCCAATGTTTTCCCTAGAAGGTTCAGGTTAAGTCTTTTTCGGTAGTTTTGGTTCCCACAGGATGAACTCTTTCACTGTTACAAATGAGTCTTTCTTAAGCTAAGTGTCTTCTACTGCACCCTTGACTACTCTCCCAGTATAAATGAATTCCATTTATGCTGGTCCTTCCACAAGAACACACTTGGATACGTGTTGGCTCTCCCTTGACTATCTTTCATGTCTAAAATCACCCATTACAAGCCTCTTGGAAACTCAAATGTCATGTTTTTGTATTGTGTCCTTGTTTCCCAGGATGCTCACAGGGAGCCAGAACCCAGAAGACCAAACGTCAGAGGAGCAGGTTTTCTACGAGTTCATTTTTAGGCTCTTCAAAGAGAATAAGGTGGAGATTGCAAGTGCAATAAAAAAGCCATTTCCTCTCCTTATGGGCCTCCGAGACCGTGGCTTTATCCCTGAGCAGATGTATGAGGTAAGGAGACTTTTCTTATGATACCAGCTCCACCAATGTTATGCCAGACTGCGGGGTGCAATGAACAGGCCGAGGGGCCTCCTGGAGACTCCCACCATCCTCTAAGTTAGGAGGTGACAGGAGAAACAGCATCACAGAAAACATCCCTTCTTCTGAGGGAAGTGTAGCGGGGGAAGGGTATGGCGGTGGAGATGTGGCTGCATTGGAACTGGGAATGCTGCATAGGTATAGTGCATCTTGGGTACATTAATACAATCTCGTTAATAGTAACTAAAAGCAAATAAGCGAGCTGGGCAATGTCTCATTACAGAGCCCTCTTATCTGACACACTTGAACCTAAGATTATTGAAACTCACAGGCAAGTTGGGTCCTATTAGGATAAATCCGGAGACAAATGCTTGCTGCTCTCTGTCCAAATCATTTTTTGCTCTTTAGACATTTCTGGAGCACTAGAACACAGGTGAAGGTTAATGGTGGGTCTTCCTGGAGACACTGAGGACAAGCCTTCTCTTGTCTTTATGAAGTTTTTTGCCCTTTGGACACGTTCATAGAAGGGGAGAGTGGTCAGTTGGTTTCCTGGAGCCCTTCAGGCCAGGTCAGTCCCAGGGCGAGGGCAGTGGTTGTTGTATGGTCAATAGAACGGCCTCTTGTTACCAGTCAGGGCCACTCTGGAAGCATTCTGGCCAGGCTCTTAAAGCCCCCACAATCATTAGACTTTGAAGGCACCTTAATTCTTCAGAATTCCCCTCTCAAGTGTGTATCAGTGTCGGAGAGGGTCAAATAAGAGTCTATTTTTGTAATGGAGGATATTTAAGAAGTCATCCAAACATGTGACATTCTAACGTTTCACAAGAGAACAGATGGTCTGGTTATGATCTGCTTCTTCTATAACTTGTAAATCCACAGCTACATAATTCTCCCTTCAATATTTTTAAGCATTTTCAAGAAGCTTGTAGAAATCTGGTCCCAGTGGAAAGAGTAATCTATGATGTGCTCAGTGAACTGGAGAAGACATTTGACAAGACAGTTCTGGATGCACTGTTCAGCAATCTTAACCTAAAGGCATATCCTGACTTACTTGAGATTTGCAGAAGCTTCCAAAATGGTAATTATAACTTTCCACAACCTCGGGGGATTCAAGCCCATCTCACTCACTGATTCATTCATTCACTCTTCATTAATGTTTGTTATTTATTGAGCAACTGCTACATGACAGGCACAGAATACAGTGGTGAAGAAAACACATGACCTGTGTCCTCATGGAACTTGCAACCGGTGGGGGTGACAGAGGTTAACCGAGTAACCCCACACATGATTGCTCGGCCAGGACCTGAATTTGATGCTGTGAACATAGGATTTGAGTTTCTACTTTTTGGTGGCAGAAGGCATGAATTAATGTGGTTTTGTAGGGAAGGAGGAAGCCTCTCTGTTACCTGTGGACTTGTTCAAAGATTAAAAAATTTCCTCTGTCTTAGAAAATATGTTATTTGGTGCAGTTGTGTGCCAACTTACTTCTCCAGACAAACAGTGGAGAAGTCACTAGAGAAGCCCAGCACGTACCTGTGCCTGCGGAGACGGCAGCTGGGAAGGGACCAGTGGCAGAGGCGTGTGGCGGTTGGAAGCTAATTCTGAGAAGGGAAGTCGGTGCGGATTTTTGAGGGCCTGACACCCAGTGCCAAGAAATTTGAAGTTTATTATTTGGGAAATAAGGAGGTAATGAAGGATTTTTAAGCAGAGAAAAGGTGAGAGAAGTCAATGTAAAGAATGAGATGTGCTGATTTGTGAAGAACATACCTTGATTAAAATAAAAGCTATAGTATTTCCACATTATGATATATCCAAGTCAGAAAAAGGCAAAAAAGAACTCAAACACCAATATAAATTCCAAGTCAGTATTATATGTGTAACCAAGGTGACCCCAGGTCATGGGTAGGAAGGAAAGGCACTTGTCACTGCCCACATCTCAGGGGCTCTGATCCTCTCCAGGCACTGTGGGGATCCCCTTCCCTGGACCCCAGCACCCACATCACACATGTTAGTTTCTGGGGCTCCCCGTGCTGAGGCTCACTGTCCCACCCTTCCCAGGGTGGTCACTGCTGGCGCCTCCTAGAGCCTGCTGTCCAAGGAAGACACGGGTCAGGGGTCCAAAGCCAAGAAGCTGGTAGGAAGGTTGTACAACGTGCAGAGACACCCACACTTGGGGCTCCCTCTGTGTTCCCAAGACCTCTGACTCACAAAGCATTTCCCCACATGCCCTCCTCCAGTGTTTGCCTGGACGAGAAGCCAGTGTGTCCTGCGGATGCTTTGCATCTTTGTTCTGATAGAGCCTTTAACCGTCACCTCTCAGTGGGTGCTGCTCCAGGACGTGTGCTCTGGTCATCTGTTTTTCTTGGCCAGCATCTTTCTCTATTTCTTGGATTTTTTTTCTCATGTTTTGAGAGTCTTGCTTTTCCATCTATCTTTGGCTGAGTTACCTTGGAAGGCAGCTGCGAAGCAGGGAGCCCTGGGCTGCGTTCCTGCACCTCTTGCTACCACTTCCTGGGGCCCTGGTACAGCTGCAGTGTTGACTTCAGAGGATACTCACTTCCTCTTTGTGCCTTGCAGAGTATCTTTTTGTTGTTTCCTGTATCTCTCCTCACCCATCTCACCCCAAGGAAATGCTAGTTCCTATTTTATTTATTTATTTATTTATTTAAATTTTTTTGTTCCTCTTCCTTTGTAACCAGGTTACCTGCCTTCCCAGATCTAAAGTCCTCTTTCTCCTTCCCACCCTCTTCCCTCCCTCCGTTCTTCCCTTCCTTTTTCTTTCTTTCTTTCTTTCTTTCTTTCTTTCTTTCTTTCTTTCTTTCTTCTTTCTTTTTTTTTCTTTCTTCTTTCTTTCTTCTTTCTTCTTTCTCTTCTCTCGTTTCTATGCTTCTTTGTTTCTTTCCCTTAAAACTTCCATCCTTAAAAGATGTTGGGGCTCTCTCTTTTTTTATACACATATAGGTCTATTTCTCTGTACCCACTACTTTTCTACTGATGAGATTCCTCTGCTGCTTCTCTATTGCCAGTTGCAAGACACATTCCATCTGTGTTGTTTATTTTAAATTAGTTTTCATTGTCCTAAATAGTTCATTGAACTGTTTACAACTTTTCCACCGTCCGTCCTTTCTTAAACCTTGTGAGATGCGTCTTGATGTGAAGCAGCATCCATTTCTGGTCCCGTGAGACCTGCTGAAGTCCAGGGTTCCCTGAGGACTGGAAGGCTCCTGCTGAACTGCTGGAGTGAAGGGTGTTCTTGGGGTGTGTAGTTGTTGACAGGAAGCTCCTGGTCACCGCCGGAGGTCTCTAACTGCCTTTCCTTCCTCTTCCCAGTGATTCGTGACAACTTCCATTATGAAGCCATGGATGAGGAAGAGACAAAAGAGGTGCTCGACTTCCAAATGCATCACAAGCTAGGTACTTGTGACTCCACAGGGACCTGTTCTCTCATCTGCTGAGAGATCAGGGAGGCTGAGCTCCTTGGTGGAGAGTGCTCCTTGGGGAGGGGTGCAGAAGGAGACCCTGTGTATGTGGGGGGAGGATAGAAGGTGGCCAGGCAGGTGGTGGGTTGTACGGGAGTATGGGATCCTAACTAACCAACCAGGTGTGGAATCCAAAAATGTTGCCAGGCAGATACAGCCATTCAGAAGATAGAACAGGAACACAAGAGCAGATCTTACTGTGACCACGAGGCATAATTAAGGAAAAGAGCTGACGGTGGTAATTGTGAGTTAAGAATTCAGTGGAAAAAAAAAAAGAATTCAGTGGATCTGGGAAGGGGTAAGTTTGGCACCAGGTAGCAGTTCCAAAGAGAAAGCCAAGAAGGAACTTCTGTAAATGCTTCCCATGATAAAAGGAAGGAAGGAAGAGGAGAGAGAGAGAGAGAGAGAGAGAGAGAAGTAATTGTGTGCAGAAGAGAATATGGAAGGAGTAGCCCTAGGTGGAAAAGAAAGAGAAGGGCACCTGTTGGCTCAGCTGGTTGAGGTTCTGACTCTTGATCATAGAATCCTGAGTTCAAGCTGTGTGTTGGTCTCCATGCTAGTTAAGAGAGAGAGAGAGAGAGAGAGAGAGAGAGAGAGAGAGAGAAGAGTGTAAAGGGGAGAAGAGAATAAAGGGCAGTAATCACTTAGCAGTGACAACAGTAGTGACCCTGACCTTTCTCAGTCCGCTAGGTGTAAGGTGAGCCCTCCCTATGAAGCAATTTGTTTATTGCTCACATATGAACTATGTACTTTTCTAAACAAGAGCCACCATTTTCAGCTTTTCAATCATCCTTTCATTCATATTATTACTAATAGCTGATCATTAAATTATAATGCACATAGCATTAATACCAAAAATTATGATTTCTTGCTAAGTCACTTTAGCCCCGGTATACCTTTACAAGTACTCTTCATTACAACCCTATTATAAGGGTTTTGCTATTCCCACTTCCCAGGAAAAGAAACTAAGGCATGAGGATATGAGTGATTTGTGCAAAGTGTCATGACTGGTCTAGGACTTGAACCTTCTCCTACACACCAGTTAAGGGCAAACATGCTGAAGCCTCACTGCCGGGCTTCACATCTGGCTCTACCCGTTGCCTACTTGGGCAAGTTACTTAATTTCTGTCTTCCAATGTAAACATTGAAACTATAAATCTCTATATCTCTGTCTATATCTCAAATAAGGTTGTTGGGAGAATTTCATGATTTAATATATGTGAAGCACTTACAATAATTTGTGGCACAAAGTAGTTGCTATATGTTTACTACTCTTATAATAATGTGTTTCTGACTCCAACAACTAGACATTTAATAACGCTCCAAATTTCAAGTCTTTTCTCCTCAGTCACCTGCTGAAGAGAAAATTATTTATCAGACTAGAGTAGCAGAGAGTGAAACAGTGTTTAAGCCCAAAAAAAGTTCTCCATCCTCAAGCCAAATGTCTACAATAAATTTACTTATTTGTTAAATGTCAGTTTTTTTTCCCTTTGCAAATGACCAATGTATGAAAAACCATAGAATATAACCAGCCTTGTAGAATGCCATTAATATGTATCCTCTCACTGGAATTTATATCTCAGGTATATAATTTTTTTGATGTATTAATACATTTATATAAAATTTGGATCCATTTTAACAATCACACTTATTCTTTTGAATGAAGTCAAATTGCTGAAAGCCTAAAATGTACATTAAAAAGTACAAAGCAAAAAAATAAATAAATAAATAAATAAATAATAAATAGTACAAAGCATATCTAAGGAGAATCATCTCCTACTGAGGGTAGTAGGAATGAGAATGGAGTGGTAGAGGATCAGTGGTAGCTGCTCATAAAGAATAAAAGAGCCTCAACATGAAGGAGAAGAAGACAAATGCCTCAATATTCCTGATGTCACCTGGTGACACCCTGCCTGCAGATGGAATCCCAGAGCAACTCAGGGATGGACAACAGATGAATACAACAGAAGGAGATCCATCTCATGACCCTGATGCTACACGAGAATGGAGGATATGGAAAACAAATGTGCCCAAAAATCTGAACAAGAAGTAAGGTTGACTGGTATTCAAACAGTTGCCTGGATGACTGATTCTGAGCAAGTATAGCACATATAGGGAGGGGTTACAGGCAGTGCCATGAGTTCATAGTTCAGAAATGAGGCCTCAAGGAACCACGAATGGGGCAGAGGTGTAGACCAGAGCCTGAGGCAAGGAGACATTTTTTTCACCAAGAAAGGGTGTCTGGTTTCTGTGGCAAAGGGAAGAAAGAAAAGACCACAGAGGGGCAAGGAGGGTAGGACACTATAAAGCATAGGCAGAGAGAACTGGAAGGGAAGATCTAGGGATTTGCCATAGAAAAAAGAAAGCTCTACTCCTACTTCATGCCATTCACAAAAAAATAGTTCAACTTGGATCACAAACCTCCAAGTTAAGGCTAAAACTATAAAGCTTCTAGAATAGAAGAAAGGAAAGTATCTTTGCAAGCTTAGGGTAGGCAAAAATTAATTATACAGAACACAAAAAACCTGGATGTAAAAGAAAAACATGGTTAAACTGGACTTCAGCAAAATTAAAAACGTGTGCTTTTCTAATCACACTGTTAAGGAAAAGGCAAGTCAGAAAGTGGAAGAAAGTATTTGCAATACACATCCCTCACAAAAGATTGCACCCAAAATATGTAAAGAACTTCCATGAACAAATAATAAAAAGACACACTACCAATTCAAAAGTGGACAAAAGACTTGAACCTAACTTTACTGCAAAAAATAGAAAATCTCCAGGAAGCACATAGACAAAGTGTACAATGACATTAACCATTAGGGAAATGCAAATTTAAACCCACAACAAGCTACCATTTACTCACTAGAATTGGCAAAATGAAAAAGACTGACAATACCAAATGTCGGTGAGAATATGGAGCAATTAGAGCTCCGTATATATATTGCCGGTAGGAATGTAAAGTGATATGATCACTTTGGAAAGCTATTTGTCAGCCTTTCATAAGCTAAATCTAAGTTGTGACTCAGCCATTCTACTCCTAGGTATCTACTCATGAGAAATGAAAACATGCGTTCACACAGAGATTTGCACAAGGACGTGTACAGTAGCTTTATTCCCAATAGCTTGAATATGGAACTATCCATCAACAGGTGATTAAATAAACAAACGATGATATATTTACAGAGTGGAGTACTACTCAGCAATAAAAAGGAATGAATTACTAGTATATGTAACAACAAGGAGGGATCCGAAAAACATTATAGTTGACTCTTAACACACCGCACGGGTGTTGAAAATCAGCATATAACTTTTGACTCTTCAAAAACTTAACTACTAACAGCCTGCTGTTGCCTGGCTGCCTTACTGATAACATAAATAGTCAATGAACACACATTTTTATATGTATTCTATACTGTATTCTTACAATAAAGTAAGCTAAGGGGCACCTGAGTGGCTTAATCGGTTAAGCATCTGCCTTCCTGCTCACGTCATGGTCCTGGGGCCCTGGGATCGAGCCCCACTCAGTGGGGAGACTGCTTTTCCCTCTCCCTCTCCCACTCCCTCGCCTTGTGCTCATTCTCCCTCTGTCAGATAAATACAATCTTTTAAAAAAGAAAGCTAGAGAAAAATGTTATTAAAAATTCATAAGAAAGAAAATACATGTACAGTATTGTACTGTAACAAAAATCCACATGTAAGTGGACCCATGCAGTTCAACCTTGTGTTGTTCAAGAGTCTAACGTGCACTGAGCCAAACAAGCCAGTCCGAAAGCCACATGATGTGTGACTCTACATGAGCATCGGGAGAGACAAGTACAGTTCCAGAAAAGAAGGACTTAATTAATGGTGATAAGAAATCAGAACCATGGTTGCTTACAGTGGGCAGAAACTGGCATGAAGTCAGCACATGGAGACTCTCTGGCATGGTGGAAACATCCCAAATATTGAAAATGGCCAGTAAGCACCACTGCAGTGTTGGTAAACAGAAGTTTTACACTTCAGTTAGGTGCATCTCAATGAAAAATAGGCAAGGAAGGCTTTGGTGAGCCCCAGGTGGGGTTCTTGGAGCTTGACCATCAGCTTGAGCACACAGAGGTCTCTTCTCTGGTCACTGTCTGAGTCTTGCCGTTTTCTTGTCCCCTTTCCAGAGTCCTGTGAACGCTCACTTCTCCAAGTGAATAACATCAGAGGGCTAGAAGACACACCCAGCTTACAGCCCCATGAAGGACCAGGTAACTATCATTCAACTTTGAATTCTGTATTAGATCTTTGTCTTTGTATCTTTTCAGAAGCAAAGCCTACATTTTGTCTCCTATCCCAGGCCTCTGCTAGTCCCCGCTTCTACCTGCCCTTACCTGCCCACGGATGGGACAGAGATGATGAGAAAAGGAATCTGAGCTCCTCCATAGAGAGAGAATTCAGTGATGGAGAATATAGAAAGAGAAAGAGGAAAGAAGTATTTAGGGGTAATAAAGGACAGATTACATGGATGGATCCACTTTTCCAAAAGGAACATGAACTCCCATCCTCTAGGGTGGGGAAGGGGGATAATATTCAGTTAACTTCAGAGACTGATTGAGAGGAATTTGGAGGCAGCACGCTATGTGTGGTCTGTGTGGGAGATGGTGCCCCTGGAGCTGGCCCGTGGGAGGTCGCTGGTACTGTAGACAAAGCCCGGCATGGCGTGTTGGAAATGGTGAGAGGGGGAACCAGGAGGATGCCAGCACACAGACGGATGGAAGGTCAAGGTAAAGTGGGAGAAGCAGCGATGGACAGGGAGGAAGTGGGAGACATAGCAGAGAGGAGATAAACTGAAAAAAGGCTCAAGGATCAGAGGTAAAAATTGAGAGAAAAATATACAGAAAGAGCAATATGGAGTGAAAATAAATCTTCAGGGCTCAGTGATCTGTGGACCTGAAGACCAGGGGTCTGGTGGGTACCTACACTGGAATTCTTTCAAGAGCCTTAAACTCGGCCCAGAACTGAGAGCATTGTTCATTCTTCGTTGTTCAAGCTAGATCTAACTCTTCAGTGTTCTTTCCTTCCGTGATAGATCACTATTCATCCATGTCTTTTTCAAGCTGGAAACCTAGAAGTTGCCCATGAGTCCCCTTGCCCCCAATTACATGCCTGCCACTCCTCCAACACGGTCATTTGTCCTTCAGAATATCTCCCACCTGTCCATCTGTCATGTCACCGGTGCCGAGTCTCTAATTCATGTCTCTGTCACTATCATGGTTCTCAGAGGCAGCCTTGTCGCCCTTGCCTCCCTCCTCCCTCCAAACTTGCTCCTGTTAAGTGCGTTATTTGCACTTCAACTAAATGAGACCTTTGGAAATAAAAATTAGATTGTATTATTTTCCTACTTAGGAAGAATAAGAAGTATTTCCTGCTTTTTAATACACCAAGGATTAAATTAAAGCTTATTTCAGTGGGGTCCAGGGTCACTCCCACAACAAGCCCCCTGCCTACTTCCGCAGCTTCATCACCTGCCTATTACACTACTACTTCAAGAGAATTTCTTCTGAAACTTTCTTCTCCAGTAATTTTAATCGTTAAATATCCCCTTGCTATCTGAGTCTTCTCACGTGCCTTATTTAGAACTGGCTTTGTTTCCCATTGCCCTCCACTTACCTTCCTGCGTTCTGGTTACATCCCATTTAACACGTACCATCTCGGGGAGGCATTTCTTTGGAGAAAGCCAGACAGGAACAACTGTGTGTCCCAGAATCCCATGAGTCACATAAACGTTCCCAAGTGCACATTCGGGGATGGAGGAGGGACCCTCTTTCATTCCTATTCATAGTAAGTACTTGGACTTATACTCACAGAACCCCTAGCTTCTCCAGAGAATAACAACTAAGTATAATCCTGTTTATTGACAATGTTATTATTTTGTATCTAATTTTGGAAAAAAAACAAGAGAAACATGGTCCTTCATATCAACTGCTCTCAACTCTAAATGATAATTTTTGTCAAATAGTTTTTGTTATGTTACTGTGATTTTTCAAAGAAGTTTGGCAACAAGATGTCATTTCATCTCCATAGACTTACACATTTAGAGAGATGAGTTGTTGCTTCTTCCTTTTTTATAAAGAAATAGAAGCACTGCAGTGGATAAAGGTCTTTTACCAGGTCAAAGTAGTTACGCAAGTGGAGGAGTAGTTACGCACTGTGGTGATGGTCATGTGGGGCTGGCAGACGGTCAGGGTGGCGAGGGTCACTGGGCCAGAGTTCACACCGGGGAACCCAGGAGGCACATTCAGGTACCCGGGTGAGTAGATCAGGGCCCAGTGCAAGAAGGCCTTCATTGAACAAATGTATGTCAGTCGTGAGAACAGGGAAAGGCAGAAAGAGCTGATAGGATTGGGGCTTGCCACGTGGGATGCAAGAGATCTACAAAGAAAAACTGAGCCACAAGTAGGCAAATTGACAAAAAGCAATGAAGAGCCATAAAGAAGAGAAAGCCCTAGAGGGAACACCAGGGATTCATGGAGGTGTCCAGTCCCTCACGGCATAGAAGCAACAGTGGGTGGTAATAGCCTCGTGAGAAGGAGAAGGGATGTGTGTGTAGGATAATAGAAGAAGAAAAGGCAGAGCGAGGCTCTGGTAGGTCTTAGGCAAAGTCCTTTTTCCCAAGGAGAAGCCCACCTGAGCGCTGAACACCAGAGCTCAGCACAAGTGCCCTGAGGTCTGGTCCCTCATCACGTCTGGTTGGCCATTTCTGCTTTTTCCTTCAGTTTCCTGTGAGCATGAAGCTCCCCAAAGGACGAGTGGAGGTGATATTGAAGAGATCCCCGAACTGCTGCCAGGCAATGGGGGAGGTAATTATGATTTAAATGATCAATTACTTCATTAAATTTATTTGCCTGTCTGTATGCAAGGGACACTTCCTTTCCTTCCCCCAAACACAAATGCACACTTTGACTCAGCCTCCTTCCCCCAAACACAAATGCACACTTTGACTCAGCCTCTGGTTGCTTTCTTCAGGTGTGTGGGAGGCAGAGGGGAAAGGGGCACATCAGTGAAAGGGCTCTCGGGTAAAGAATTGAAGGCTGCAGAATCATGAAAATGTCGACTGGGGGCACCAATGGAGTTGGCTAAGTGGGCCCAATTTTATCCAAATATATATGGACTCTAAATACTACCAGGTTGGGGTTTGTGAGGGGAGAGATAAACTTACTTCCCAGGATTTGCATAGGATCAATGAAATACAGTGTATGGCAGAGACAGAGGAAGTGAGATAAGAGAATAAATAGGGAGATAATGGAGCAAAGAGATGACGAACTTCATGGAAGAGCAAAAAGATAGAAATGCAAACAGATGGCAGAAGGGGGAGAGCGAGTCATAGTCAAGGAGATCATGGCTTTGTGGTGCAGGTGCAGCAACGTGTGGAGACAGGGTTAAAGGGAGAAGAGGGAAGGGGAGAGAAAGGGACGGGGACCTAACAAGGTGCCAAAAAATGCAGAGCAAGTTCTGTGGGTACAAACATACTTTTCTTCCCAAGGAATAGTTCTCCTGCACTCTGAACTTCAGGGCTCCAGTGCTCTCTGAGCATTGGTCACTTCGAGGCAGAGTCCAGGCCAAGTATCTGTCATGTTCCTGTTTCTCTCTTCAGTGTCCTGTGAACCTGTAGCTCTACAAATGGATGAAGGAGGAGAATCAGAAGAAATGCCCAGATTACTACTTTATGATAGAGAAGGTAATTAGGATTTAAATGACCTGTTATCTAATTTAAGCTTTATTTTTCAGTATAAAGGGACACCTATTCTTTTATCTCTTCCTTATTCCTTTTCCATCCATCCATCCATCCATCCATCCTCACATATTCGCGTAGACAAACTATGCCCAGCTTCTGATTGCTTCCCTTGAGAGATACAAGCCATGAAAGAAGATCTCAGACTGGGTGAATGAAAAATATAGAGAGTCATGAAATGAAGAGAGATCAAAGTGATTTAACAATTATACTTAAATAGACATGGAATCTAAATATAACCAAGCTGGAGTGTGTTATCAGGGAGGGGAGATAATTTTCAACCTATTTTCCCTGAGGTTGTGCCAGGAACATGGGCATAATGAGTATAATTGCAATACAGAGAACTCATGTGAAAGAGTTTGAATTCGACCTGGCAAAGGGAAGGATCCTTGCTCATTTGCCAATGGCCACAGTCCAGAGCATTGATAATATGGGAGGAGGAATAGGGATATGGATGAAATACGCAGAAAGTCTAAAATTTAAATTTTTAGTTTTAATTCTCAGGTTGAAAAATTAGAAACAGAAAGTTAGGAACTAGAGAGAAGAGATAGAAGCAGGAACATGAGCACCATGGAAGAAAGGAGGTAAACCCCATAACCTTAGATAGGTAGAGAACATGATGTTAAGTAAGAAATGCAGAGAGAGGTGGGGAGGGAACACTAAGAAACAGAAAGGATGGGAGGGGGCATAGAAATTATACATTGAGAAAAAGCACAAGGAAATGAGTGAAGATTCAGCAGGATGAACACGGGGTACCAGGGATAGAGAAGACAGTTTCTGGACATTGTAGGAATTGAGACAAGAGTCGTTGGTCAGAAACAAATCTGCCAGTAGGGGTGGAACATGCTAACCATGAGTTTTCAGGTTATGATGTCTCCAGTTATCAACACAACACCTATAATATTCTCAGAGGCAGTGGGCCTCCCCCAGGCATCCTTGTCTGCTCCCATCTATAATTTATGATCCCCAACACCTTTGTCGGGCCCACGCTTGTCTTCTAACCTCATTCATCTGAGGGTCTGAATACATCCTCCCTCAACTCACATAGCCCATCAGTCATCAGGTTAGTCAGCTTTACCTCAAACTTGTCTCTTGCCCGTCCATTCCTCTCCACACCCAACATAAACACTCTGGTCACTTGTTTCTACTTACTGGAACCAGCAACAACCTCCAGTCTCATATCTTCCCCCCAGTCATCATTGTTCCCATCACACTCAATCTCTTCAGGTCAACTAGATGACTCTGAAAATACAGGTTGGTTTATCCTACTTTCTCATGTTAAGTCAATTACTGCTTGTTGTCAGAATTAAATTCAATTTCCCTCCCATGGGTTCAGCCTCATGTCTGCTTGTCCTGCAATTACTTCAAAATTTTTTCTAAAACTTTTCCAGTAATTTTAATTATCTGGTTACTCTTTCTCACCTGAGCTTTGGCACATGCTGGGCCCTGTGCTTGGACAGTTTTCTTGCCTACTTGCTCACTAATCAGTGGATGTTAGATACCATCTCAGAGATGCCTTTTCTGATCCCTAGAAAATAATAGGGTAAGAGATGGGGAGAAGACATAAAACATAGCATCAGGGAAGCACAAGAGGAAAAAAGAGGAAAGAAATAAATCAAGACAGTGGCGGCTGGGTGGCTCAGTGGTTGGGCCCCTGCCTTCGGCGCGAGTCATGGTCCAGGGATCCAGGGGGATTGAGTCCCGCATCAGGCTCCCTGTGGGGAGCCTGCTTCTCCCTCTGCCTGTGTCTCTGCCTCTCTCTCTCTAAGTCTGTGTCTCTCATGAATGAATAAATAAATCTTTTTTTTTTAAAAAAAAAAAAAGGAAATAAATCAAGACAAAGAGGACTGCCAAGAGATCCCAAGAGTGAGATACAGAAGAGGCAGATACATGCAGGAAGGGCAAAAATGAGAAAGAGAACAAAGTGTGGGAGACAAGGTGTGCAAGGTCTCTGACAGTCTCTGTCAGATTATTGGGTTGTGGGAGACTTCCTTTTACCTGTGCAAAACCTTAAGACACAGGCATACAAACTCTTGCAGCCTTTGTTTTGTGGACAGGGCAACAAAGTACAGAAAGGCATGCAGGTTATTTTTGCAAGGGCAAAGCAGAAAAGGCAGAGTGGGCAGCAGTAGGTGTGTCACGGAGGGTGACGAAATGTGAAGCCACCTGCCAGTCAGGGAGGGGTCCTCTGGGCAGAACACAAAGAGGAATTCCCAGGAGTCCCACACATTCTCAAAGAAGTGCACCTGCATCCAACATAAGACCTTCATTAAGGAAATAAACTAAGTCATAATTTTAGCCATTCTGACTGGTATCAGGTGGTATCTCATTGTGGTTTTGATTTGTATTTCTCTCATGCTAAGCAATGTTGAGCATTTGTTCATGGGTCTGTTGGCCATTTGTATGTCTTCTTTGGAGAAATGTCTAATGGGGTGATGGGCATTAAGAAGGGCACTTGAAGTAATGAGCACCGGGGGTTGTATGCAACTGATGAATCACTAAATTCTACTTCTGAAGCTAATAATACAGTATATGTTAATTAAATTGAATTTAAATAAAAATTTTTTTTTAAAAAAAAGAAAAACTTGGCATGAGTTTCCAGGTGTTTCAACTATTTGACCATATTCTCAAGGGCCTGTGGACTGAAGAATTGTTTTAACAGCCCCTTCCACTATAATGGAATGTAATCATCAGTCTCCTACCTTGGTATAGGGGAACCATTTCTAGTGCTTTTGATGTTGGGCCTGTTTCATTTAAAAAATAAAATATTCTTGAGTTTAAAAAAAATAAGGGAAAAACTAATGTTGATGGGGAGAGAAAGGAAATGCTGAGAGAGAGCATGGGAATGGACTCAATCACTTGAGCTTGAGGACATCTAGAGTAAGAAAGCTAAAAAGGATAATAGGAGAAAGGAGATACTTTATCACTGAAAAACAAAAACAAAAACCAAGGCCTCAAAACAAGAGATGGGGGAGAAGCCCAAACAATGGAAGAGAAATACAGAAATACAGAGATGTGTGGAGGCAGAAATGCAGGTGAGAAGTGAGCAGAGGAGGTGCAACAAGTTGGCAGAAAGCAGAACAAGACAGTGTGGCTCCCAGGGGCAGCATGGAGCAGGCCGGTGCCCTTTCCCATCCTGGTGGGCACGGACATGCTGAGGTCTGCTCCCATCACCCTCCATGGTCCATCCTGTCCTTGTTTTTCTGCAGTGACCTGTGACCCCGGAGTTCCTTCAATGACTAATGAAGAGGAACCAGAGGAGATGCCAGAGGAGATGCCCAGCCTACCAGCAGAAGAGGAACAAGGTAATTCTGATGTACATTTCCCAACTACCTCAATAAATATTTGTTTTCTGATCAGCATGAAAGGAAAATCTCACCTTTCTCCCATCCTACCATTCTATTCTTCATATTCACGTACATACAGGTGAGACTGGCCATTTTCTGTTTTGCTCTTTTCAAACTGTGAGTGAGACTAGGAACAGTGAGCAGAGCTCCTGAGAGAATGTAAGGAGGCAGGATATAGCAAAGGTAGGCCGAGGCACCAGAGCAGAAGGGCCTGGGTGATTTTGTTAAATGCTCATTAAAAATTCAGACTCCAGCAGGTTATGGCAATTGAGGTAATGAGATCTATTTTCTTTCTGGTACCACTTCTGGAAGTGTCAGGAATATGGAAATCAGTTTTGGGAATGATTGATAGGTTTGCACTTTTAGAAGGTCCCTTGGGAGATGGTTAGCGTAGCAGCGCTGGTACGGGAAGGCTGTCTGCTACTGTGGTCCATGTGAAAAGGGAAGAACTTTTGTCATTTTTTAGAAGACGCATCTGTGAGAATGAGGAAAATAGATAAAATAATGGAAATCTTACAGCCAGCCAGAAGCAAAGACTCAGAGAAACATAGATAGAAAAGGAGGAAGTGAAAGACAACATGGAAAGGGTGTAAGCTCATGACGAAACGAGATATGGAGATTAAAAAAAAAGAGAGATTATATAGTAATTTGGCAAATAAATGCCAAAATCATAATAATGTGGAAAGAGGCACAAATAAAACTATGTAGAGAAAGAGTTGTATCAAAATAATTTAAAAATCAATAAGGAGTGGAAACTGCCATATGGAGAAGGGAGAAGTTGGGATTTTGTAAAGCTGAAGTATGAGTCTAGACAGGAGCATCTTTCAGCAAAAGGGGTGTCTATCTTATTAGTGAGTTTTCAGATTTAATCTCCCCAGTGGTGCCTGGAACATATTCAGAGAGTAATAACCTTCTCCCTGGCAGTCTCAGCTACTCCCAGGTAACAGAATGAGTCTCGAGTGCATGCCTGCTAGGGACACCTGCATCCCAAGGTCATCTGTCTACGTACCTGGAGGCATTTATCACAGGATCCTCTCCATTGGGATGACTCCGGAACAGACGCTTCCAAAATTGAAACTAACACCTTCTTCCGTGAAACTAGAAACACCTTCTCCAGAGTTTGCTCCCTCATTAATGGGAACATGAATGTCCCATTTCCTCTTGTTCCCATTCTACCCGTTTTCCCGACTTTAGCACGATTGGTATTTGCAAGACATCAATCAGATCATATTATTTTCCCACATACATCTGGTGACCTTTGTTGCCTTAGGATTAAATCAGTTATCCTTTCTGTGGCTTTCTTCGTCTCCCACTCACCATGAGGGGCCAGCCTATTGCTTCTGCCTCACCTCTAGTGAAAGTATAAATATTTTCAGTGATTGAGATGTTCTGATCTTTCTTTCTTTTCTTCTTTAAAAAAAGATTTTATTTATTTATTCATGAGAGACACACACAGAGAGAGGGGCAGAGACATAGGTAGAGGGAGAAGCAGGCTCCCAATGGGGAGCCTGATGCAGGACTCGATCCCAGGACCGTGGGACCATGACCTGAGCCAAAAGCAGATACTCAACCACTGAGCCACTCAGGTGCCCTAATCTTTCTTTTATACATGACCTTTGGGCAACTTTTCTCTGTGTTTGCTGGTGTTGCCTTGACTAATCGGCTCCTTATCCTATCCCCTGATCAGGTTCGACTATCCTATTTCAGGGATGCCTCTCCCAGCATAGAAGAAAGGGAACAAGAAGAAACTGAATAAGATAGGGAAGGGGAATAAAGACACTAAAGAGTGTCAGAGGTGCAAGAGAAAAAGAGACAGAAGAAAAGGAAACAGAACATGTCCAAACAAAGAGAAGCACCTGGAGACACCGGCAGGAGGAGACAAGGGCAGAGACAGAAGTAATGAGCAGAAGTGATGGGAAAGGGGAAGAAGTAGAGAGAGAATTAGGTGTACATGACGGGAGGAAGATGGTGGATGGTCCTCAGGCTCTGGTGATGGCATCAGGAGTGAGTCAGCCTGCAGGCCGGTGAGCCCAGAGATGAACCAAATGGTTTGGGACAGGGACAGTCCCTGAGTGTCCCATGGTTTCACTATGAGTTTTCCTACCATGGTCGCCTTGGGTTGTGCACTGAGACGGCTGGTGGGTTTCATTCCTTTCTGCAGAGCATGATGATGCCCACTGGGAGGCCAGTGATGAAGAAGAGCCTCAGGAAACCTTGAGCTCCCCACCAACATGTGGGCCAGGTAAGGAAGGGATTGCCAGCTCTGGGCTGCAGGATATCCGGAGCTGAATTCAGAGCTGAACAGCATGACCCTTATTGTTAGAACAGATGTATTCCCTCGTCATGTTGTAGTAGATAAATACCGGCAAAAACTGTCTTTTTTCCTTCACGCTTTTTATGTCTATTTATAGGAAGGACTCAGTATTCTGATTTTAATCCCTACCTGCTTCTTATTTTCTATAAAGAATAATAGTTAAAGTATTTATCTAGTGCTTAATATTATTATTATATTGTCAGAATCTTGGGTAGGCTTCAAATGACACATGGTTCTGAGATCTATTTGGCAGAAGGAAAGATCAAGGGCTTTTGAACTGAAATTATAGTTTTTGTCACATTTTTGTCATCAGATTATTGGATTATATTGTGCTTTTTTTCTTTTCAAAGTACCGTGGCAAGTGAGTTTTCCTCATCAAGCTTTAGGACTTAGCTAGGAAAACTGATATTATTCCTCCTTAGAGAAAGACATGGATGCACAAGCAAAGGATTCTTGTTTTTGCATGAGATCAAGTAGGAGGAAGAGCAGAGACCCATGCCCTGAGCATCTCATTGCAGGTAGTGGCTGTATGAGGCAGGGGTCGATGTGGTCACACAGAAGAGTCCAAAGAGAGATCTGTGGCTCCCAGGGGGAATACAACAGGGCCTAAAGCAGAGAAACTTCCACTTCACTAATAAAGAATGCCAGTAGGAAGGGGAAGACATCAGGAGAGACAGTGATAGAAGGAATGGATGCTGTTATAGGAAGTGGAGAGACCTGGAAAAACAGAGCTAGGAGAAATAAGCAGAAAAGAAAAAATCAAGATCACCATGGAGGGGAAAAAAGGTAGAAAAGTAAAGAGATAGGAGAAGTCAGGGGAGTGGAGCCCACAACATCAAAGATGCACAAATATTCTCCTAGTGCGGAAGAAGAAATGTTTGGAGGCAGGTCTATGGGAAGGAAATGGGGAAGCAGAGAATAGGAGAGACAAGTGAGAGAGGGCTTGATTGGATCTTGGGTGGGTTCCTTGGAACAAATGTCCCTTTTCCCAAAGAGTGGCTCTCCTGTGTTCTGAACATCCTGGCTCAGCTCATTTCTTTACTTCCCTTCAGGGTCCCATGATCCTGAGGCTCTCCAAATAATCAGTGAAGAAGAACCAGAGGAGATGCCCAGCCAAGTGCTATCTGATGGAGAAGGTAATTATGATTTAAATTCCCATTTAATTAACTGAATCTTTGTTTTTCTGTCGACAAGGAGGAAAATCACCCCTTTCTTCTCCTCTCCTCTGCCGCTCCCTTTCAGTTACCCATATGTAAGAAACGTGAAAAGCCAAATGAAAACGATCAAAAATAGAGAGAATATTAGATGTATAGGAAGGGTGAGAGATGGGTGGGCCATTCTCAGCCTCTGATGATAGTGATACAAGCCATGCTAACTCCCAGGTCAGGTGAACTCCAAGGCAAGAGGGTCTGAGGGCAGGGACATTCCCACCTGGAAGATACTCGAGCCACCTTGGTTGTCTGGTTTTCTTAGGGTGAATTTTCCTGGTATGATTTCCATTGGTCATATGGTGGATCCACTAAGGGATTTTATTCTATTCAGCAGAGAGTAGCAGTGACTGTTTAGAAATGTGTGATGAAGGAGAACTCCAGGAAGACTTGAGCTCACCACCAGAAAATGGATCAGGTAAGGGAGGGGATATGTATGGCTGGATTTCCTTCTCTTTTCTCAAACGGACGAAGAGTATTCCATTGTGTATCTCTCTCTCTACCACATTTTCCTTATCTACTCATCTGTTGATGGACACTCCTAGGTTGTCTCCATGTATTGGCTATTGTAAACAATGCTGCAATAAACATGGGGCACAGATATCTCCTTGACATTATTATTTTTTTCCTTCTGATATATATACCTATAAGTGGAATGGCTGGATGATATGGTGGTTCTAATTTTTAATTTTTTGAGGAACCCTCATACTGTTCTTCATAGTGGCTGTACCACATTACGATCCTACTAACAGCATGCCAAGGCTTCCTTTTTCACACATCTTCATGAGCATCAGTTATCTCTCATGTTGATAGTTTCTTTTTCTTAACATCAACTCTGCCATATAGCATAACCTAAAAATGGGGGTAATATCTCGTGATATTCGCAGTCCCTTGGAGCCAAGAAAGGAAATCTTGAGGGGACATTGAGAATTTTGCCTATGACGGTGAGGCAGAATTTCTAGAAAATAATTGTCCAGATGAGCCATTGACTTTTCAAGTAAATAATATAAACTATTCTTATCAAATGGGACATCAAACAAAGCTGAGCATAAATGCATTAAAGAAAAGAATCTGGCTTTAGAAAAGATTATAGTAATTGGGTTAGACTCTACAGAGAAGTGAGATATACCTACCTTGTCGATTGCCTGCAGATCTTGAACCATGCATAGTGTAGACATACTAATGTTCAGATCAATTATAAATTGATTATGTGCAAGAGAATTTTCTAGGATCTAAAGTTATTCTTCCTTCAGTACTTTTAACCTAGTAGCTTCCTTCTTTTCTTTCTTTCTTTCTTTCTTTCTTTCTTTCTTTCTTTCTTTCTTTGTTTTTCTTTTCTTTCTTTCTTTCTTTCTTTCTTTCTTTCTTTCTTTCTTTCTTTCAATTTTATTTATTGGAGAGAAAGCAGGAGCAGGGGGTAGGAGCAGAAGGAGAGGGAGAAGAGGACTCCTCGCTGAGCAGGGAACCTGACATGGGACTCCATCCCAGGACTCAAGCTCATGACTCAAGATCATGACTTAAGCTAAAGGCATATGCTTAACCTACTGAGCTGCCCAGGTGCCCCTTAATCTGGTAGTTTCATTTGCAGAATAGATCCTTACTTATTAAATTTATAAGGATTTTTTTAAAATAAAAGAAAGAAACTGTTAGATGATGGTCTGAAAGTAGCAGTTATTGGTTGGGACATGGGAATTATTGGTCATCTTTCTCTCTTATAGAAATACTATCAAATGCACTGTTTACTTTTGAAGTGTCCAGAGTTCTCCTTTGAAACAAAAATTCATCTTTCGTGAAATTTTGCCACTTATTAAGATAAGTGCAAGAATCATTCTGAGAGTACAAAGAGGAAGCTGAGTCCTGTCAGTGGGAGACTGTAGCTTTGGCCAAGATATGTGCATGACAAATAGGAACAAGGTCACCGTCCTTAGTGTGAAGGGTGTCCTGCAAGTGAATGGAGTATTGGGTTCCTCCATGGAGTAGAGACTACAATGGGAAATACGATTGATTACATGATAATAGTTGACCTCAGATTATGTGAAAACAAATTATTTTCTCTCAAAAATTGACAAGAGGGTTTGAGGAGGGACTCAAGACCAAGGGTGACCAAATATCTTTGCACAAATTAGCTACTGCCCAACGGGTCCACTTCCAATAATTAGTTTTGTATAGAGGACTTATCAGGTCTCTGTCTCCATCTATATGCTTTGGATCACTTTCTTCTAACATTCAAGAAGCACAAGAAAATAAGGAGCAAACAAACACACATAAGACAAGACTTTGAAAAATGTAAGAGTAAATGAAGCAGTGGAAGAATAAAAATATTAACAGAATATTTGCTAAATGGTGTAACTCCAAACCAAGATGTCTGACTACTTTGTGTCTAATTGCATATACATCTTTAAACAATAAGATTAACTCATAAATAGGAACTCAATGACACAAGCCAGAGCTCAACTTCTTGTTGAGATGGATTAATCAGAAAGACAATCTGAATTGGGCACAAAAGGCTGTGGATTTACACCTGTTGGCCCAAGGATCCCACAGGACATTCCTAGACAAGAGTCTTTAAGATTGGGGCACTTGGGTGGCTCAGGGCATTAAGTGTCTGCCTTAGCTCAGGTCATGATGCCAGGGTCATGGGACAGAGTCCACCCAGGGCTTCCTGCTCACTGGGAAGCATGCTTCTCCTTCTTATCCGCTTCCTGCTCCCCCTGCTTGTGATCTCTCTCTGTCAATGAATAAAATCTTAAAAAAAAAAAAAAGAATCTTCAAGATGGCTTGGTGGGACCTCCATTTTTGGAGGGATAGACCATCATGCCATTTCTGAAGCTAAAAGAGGGATTTATTGCTTGCTAAGCTAAGTGCATTGTGGGAGGAGGTGCAGTACTTATAAGACATAGTTTCTTTTAAAAAGGAAATGGTTTTTACGTAGAGTTTTAGAAAGCCTGTAGTTCAGGAACGGTACACTTTCAGAACCCAGGAGTGTCTATAACTAGGTTATCATTTAATCAGAGACACAGGTTTTCTGGAGTGTGGCTGTTGCTGATTGGCTGATTTTCAGAAGCGTAACTCTGTCTTTGATTGGCTGGCTTTAGATGTGGTTAGTGATGTAAGCAGTGATGGCCCAATTGGGATGACTTTAAAACCCGTTCTGGTAATTGTTTTTTTATATTTTTCAAAGAATAGCTGGGTTTCCTAGAAAGATAAGATCTTTTTATTTTATTCTTAGGGTTACAGGTAGAAAAGTAGGTGTAGAGAAAGCAAGATGAGGTACAAAAGAGCAAAAGCATGGCTTTGGCAGCTCTCGGTTGTGATTATTGGAGCAGGTGTAGTCTTCTCTCAAAAGGCAGTTCAGTTTTGCTCAGAATATTACTTCCAGCCTGCTACCCTATGAAGGACAGATGATTATGACTTAAAAAATAATAAAAACAGAAACAGAGGCTGGGGGCTCCTGGGTGGCTTGGTCAGTTAAGCGTCTGCCTTAGGCTCAGGTCATAATCCTGGAGTCCTGGGATGGAGCCCGCCTGGGGCTCCCTGCTCAGCAGGGAGTCTACTTTTCCCTCTGTCCCTCCCCTCTGCCTGTGCTCTCTCACATTCTATCTCTCTCTTAAATAAAATCTGAAAGAAAAGAAAGAAAGAAAGAAAGAAAGAAAGAAAGAAAGAAAGAGAAAGAAAGAAAGAAAGAAAGAAAGAAAGAAAGAAAGAAAGAAAGAAAGAAAGGCTGATAAAGAGAAAAAGACTTAAAGGAAGGGCCAGAGATAAGGAGGGTCAATGAAAGATTTCAGAGGAGGAAGCAGAGAAAAGGAGATCAAGAAAGGCACAGAAAAGGGGATCCCTAGCTAAATGAAAGTCTTCATACTTTACATTTTTGGCCCAGAAGCTGAGCTACCAGCATATGGAAATGAGAAGTGTTCCTGTGTTATGTGCTCCTCAAAGTATGTGCCAGAAGGTCCAGAAGCAAGTACTGCAAGTAGCCAAGCACGTGACACGATGGGTGAGGCCACCGTAGGGAAATGGGATGAGGGTGACTCTATGAGCAGGGTGATGGCAGGTGGTCTGGTCCATTCCCATATCCTGTTCCCTACTTTGCTTGACCTGACCCATTTGGGAAAAGTAGAGAGCCAAGAGACCATCTTAAAGTCATGTTTAACAGGATGGGCCCTGCTGATTACGCATGAGTGATGTAGTAGAAACATGCTTTTAAAGATGGCAGTATCTTGTTTACTACATTAGTCCACTAATAATAAAGACTTGTATTTACCCAGTGATTTCTATCCCTCTCACACCCAGTCTTCTGTGGAGCCCAAGAAAGCCAAGCTTACTTCTGCTAGATAACAGTGTCATTTTGTCACAACCTTTGAAAAATCTCAAAAGACAGCTAGTCATGCCACTTGCTTGTCAGAAAGAAAGCACATGTTTTTGATGGATGCCCTCTAGCATGTCACTGGTTTATCTAGTGATTTCCTGTAAATGTTTGCATGTAAGATTTTATTTAATCCTCACAAAAATCTTAAGACCTAAACAATTATCCTTGAGTAAACTGAGTACATGGGTATTTCAGAGTGTTTTTCCAAGCACCGTTGAGAAACAAAGGAAGACCCAGGGCCCTTTCTGGACTCCTACTTCTCAATTCAGTACGTTTTAAGTCCTTTCAGAAAGAAGAGAAGAAAAAGCAATGACCCAAATGTCTTTATAAATCCAAGTCTTCTGCAGTGTGAATAATCCTAAAATGTCTTAACTTTTATTTATTGATTTCCTCACCCTCACCTGTTTTTCTCCAGATACTGCAGATCTTGGAAACAATCTTCTTCGGGAAAACTCAAGAGGAAGAGAAGTAAGAATGCATAAGATTTTACTTGCTTTTGATACTAAATAGGAATTTGTAATGCTAGCATTACATTGTTACTATTTATAATAATAAGTGATAATAATATGATGTCTGCCCAAAGATGTCTATATCTTAATCTCTGGAATTTGTATTATCTATTATCTTAAGATGGCAAAAGAGATTTTACAGAAATAATTAAGTACGGATGTTGGAAGGGAAGATAGTTCTGGATTAGCTGGGTACACCCAATATAATGGAGCAGGCTTGGAAATGTGGAGAGCTGCTCCCGGCTGTGGGAAGAGTGGGAGTGGCTGTGGAAAGTAGTCACAGAGAGATGCCGTATTATTGGCTGGAGGAGGAGGAACATAGAGAAAAGGAACCAGGAATATGATGACCTCTGGGAGCTGGGAAAGTCAGGGAACTGTATTCTACTCCACAGCCTCCAGAAAAGGATGAAGGCCTACTAGAACCTTGATTCTAGCTCAGAGACCCTTGTCAGACTTCTACCCAACATAACTGTGAGATAGTTAATTTATGTTGTTTTAAGCCACGAAATTTCTAGTCATTTGTTATGGCAGCAATAGAAGAGGAATGCAGACTTTGAAGGTGGAGTGCAGCTGTGATGCATTCCTAAAATGTGGAAATAGTTTTGGAATTGGGTAATGGGCAGAGGGAAGAATTTTAAGTGGAATAATAGAAAATGTCTAGGTTGACTTGAGCAATTTGTTAGAAATATGGGGCTGAAGACTGCTAGAGAAGGCTTGGAAGTGCAGAACATGGTAGAGAAAACCTATTTTGTCTTAGAGCATATGCAAATCATGATGAAGACTTAGTAGAAATATGGAAGTTCAAGGTGTCACTGGTAAGGGCTCTGAAGGAAATAAGGAACATGTGTTTGAAAACTAGAGAAAAGGGAATCCTTAGTATATAGTGGCAGAAAGCTTAGCAAAATTCTGTCCTGCCAATAATGCGGAAAGCTGAACTTTCTGGATATATAGCTAAGGAGGTTTCTAAGCAAAGTGATAAAGGTGCAGCTGGTTTCATTTTGTTGCTCATAGTAAAATGTAAGGGGAAAGAGGTAAATCAAAGGAAGAACTGCTTTGCAAAAAGAATCAGGACTTGACGATGTGAGAAATTCTCAGCCTTTCCAAGCTGTAAAAGATGCTAAAATTAGAAGCTTCACTGCCGGGAAAGTGTGGTCTGTAGTGACAACCAAGAGTATGGCCGTACAGCTTTCTGCTAATGCACCAGAAGTAGTGAACGCTCAGAGTATTTAGTCATAAGGAAAAGGTTCTTTGAAGGGATTACGTTTGTGACACACAGATTAGCTTGGCCATGTCAGCAGAAGTAAAAAAAAACAAACAAACAAGAACATCCATGATTGTATAGAAAAGATCCATGGAAGAGTCTATCTAATGGAGGAGATCCTCATGACATACACAAGAGTGCTATGATCCCTAAGAATCTTCTATCAACAGAAACAAGGACATCCATGTCCCAATCTCTGGAACCTGTAACCAATTTACTTCACATGGCAAGAGACTTTGAGGGTGTAATTAAGCTAAGGGTCTTGAAATGGGGGGATTGTCCTGGATTATGTGGATGGCCCCAATCAAGTCATATGGGTCTTTAAAATCAGAAACCCTCTTCTCCTGTGGAGAAAGGGATATGTGATGGTTAATGATCAGAGCAGTGCAGTGTGACTGGTTTGAAGATGAAGGCAGAGGGCCATGATCCAAGAAATGGGGGCAGGCTTCAGAGGTTGGAAAACGTAAAGAAATGGGTTATCCCCTGTCGCCTCCAGTAAGGAACAAAGCCCTGTAGACACCTTGATTTTAGCCCCATGAGACTTGTGTCAGATTTCAGACCTTCAAACTGTAAGATAAAAACTTTGTGTTGTTTTAAGCCATGAAGTTTAGGGCAATTTATTACAGCAGCAATAGAAAACTAATACTTTTCATAAGACCAAAAAATTAAAAAAGGAATATTTCACCTTTATATGGTTAGATTACATCCTTTAAAATAGTAATTTATATTTTTTCAAAATGCTCTTATCTTTATGGTTTTTTTAATATATGGTATTTGTTGGGGGGCCTGGGTGGTGTAGTTCTTGAGTGTGTGACTCTTGGTTTCAACTTGGGCAGTGATCTCAGGGTTGTGGGACTGAGCCTCGGGTTGGGCTCCTCGCTTAGCTTGAAGTCTGCTTGGGTTTCTCCCTCCCTCTCTCTCAGCCCCTCCCTCCATGCGCATGTGCAGTGTGCTCATGTGTGCTCTCTATCTTTCTAATAGTAAATTAATTAATCTTAAAAAAAAGAAAATATATGATCTTTGTAAGCTTTCATATATATCCTCCCAAATTTTTTCTATGCATGAATTAACACACTTAGAATTTTATCATAAATCTAAACAAATCTATTCATATTATTACATTTTCTTTAAATCAATATATCATGCACAAGACATTACAAACATTCAACATTTAGCCCGTAAAATTTTTTATTTCATTCCTGTTTTAATTTGCATTGCTTGCATTTTTGTTGTGGTTGAGAATTTCTAAGTTATTGGTTGTTTTTTCTCCTAAAAATGCGTGGTACATGTGCCTTGCCAGTGATACAGTCTTGTCATCCTTTTTTTTTTTTAAAACCCTGCTTAACAAGCATAGGAATATTAATATAAATATTAAATTTTGCCAATCTATGTTATTATTTTGTTTCATTTGATGCTATTCTTTTTGGTTTGTAGTATCTTTTGTCCCAAGGAAGTTGGAAAATTTTAAGTAGTAAAATCTATCAGGCTTTTCCTTTATGGTTTCTAGGTTATATTAAAAATTTACAAGGATATTTCCCACCTCAAAATATTAAAAATATTTTATTTGCTTCCAGAATATTTGAAGTACTTAATACTTTTTAGTGTTTAAATCAATCTATAATTCACCTTTTTGTGTATGATGTGAGACAGGAATTTCAAGAAATAACCCCAATGTTCCTTTCTTCATGATTTGAAATGCCCTTTTTATGTGCCTTTCCCTGTATTCGTGGATCTGTGCCTGTACTCTACTCTGTAACACTTGGGTCTGTTTATTTCTAATGCAGTAGCAAATTGGTTTAATACAAAGCTCTCAAGTATATTTTGCTATTTGTACTCATTATATTTTCTTTTGCAAGGAAAAAAGTAAAAATTACAGGAAGGAGCCTCAGAAAAGAAAGAGATTTCAAAAGTTCAGTAATCCTGGCTCACTCATTGTGGCTGAGTTTTAGAAGCAGTCAAGATTTCCCCCAATACCTCCCCAATTCCATTGAGACTCTGATTGAAAATACGTTGAACTTGCTGATTAATTAGGGTACAATTGAAGGAGAATGAACCACACATTTATTCAGATCACCTTTTATGTTCTTCAACGTTTTAGTTTTCTTTCTGCAGATCTTGCACATTTTTACTTTTCTTCTCAGCTTTATTGAGATATAATTTTAGGCAATAGCAGTTGTCACTATTAAGGGATGACTGGATGAGTTTTAACAAATGTGATCTGTCATGTAATGCCACCATGATCATCACATTTAACATTTCCATCATCCAGTGGACATGTGTTCCTTTTCCCATCTGGCTCTTGAAAACTGCTGATCTGTTTTTATCACTATAGTTGTATCCTCTCTGGAATTTTGTGTAAATGAATTCATACAGTATTTATTTTTCCTTCTTATTTTTCCTGTAGCCCTTTCATTTAGCATAAAGCTTCTGAGACACATCCATGCTGGTATGTGTCTCATTCCATATATACCAGCAAGAAGTATTCCATTATATGGATACTCCATAGATTGTTTATCTACTTGCCTGTTGATAGATGTTGAATTGTTTCTAGGTTTTGACTATTACAAATAAAGCTTCTAGGAACATATGCATACAAATCTTTGGGTGGATAGATGATTTAATTTTTCTTAGGTAAATACCTAGGAGTGATACTACTGGGCCATATGAACATAAGTATGTTTGACATTTTAAGGATCTGCCAAAGTATCTTTTCTGTTGTACACTTTTGTACTCCCACCAGCGATTTATGAAAATTCTCATTACTTCACATATTCACCAACACTCGGTATTGGTAATCTTGATTTTAGCCATCCTCATAGGTGCATAATGGTAATTTGTAATTTTAATTTGCATTTTCTTAATGAGTAATGGTGCTGAGCATCTTTTTATGTATTTATTTGCCACCCGTAGATCTTATTTGGTTAAGTGTCTATTCAAATCTTTTACCCATATTTAATTGGGTTGTCTATTTTTTAGTTGTAAAGTTATTAATATGTTCTGGATACAAGTCCTTTGCTGGTTATATACCATACAATGTATAGCTCCTTTGTTCATTTGCTTAGTGGTGTCAAAGAGCAAAATGTATTTTGAAGTCTCACAGTATTTTTTATAATCTATGACTTTTCAGTTCTATTTAAGAAATCTTTGCTCAAGATACTGTATTTTCTTCAAGAACTTTTACGGTTTTAGCTCTTACATTTAGATCCATGATCCAGTTTTAAGTTAATTTTTGCATACGGTGTGAGGTAAGGATCGATTCTTTCATTCCTTCTTTCTCTCGTTTTCTTTCTTTCTCTCTCTCTCTCTTTCTTTCTTTCTTTCACTTTCAGATATCTAGATGTCCTAGACCATTTGTGTATTGAATTATTGTGTTAATTACCTCAACATCTTTGTTTTAAGTCAGTTGCCCTATGTGTTTGGGTGTATTCTGGACTTTCTTTTCTACTTACCTATATGTCTAACTACATGCCAGTACTACACCATTTTGACTACTGTAGCTTTATAATAAGAGCTGAAATCTGATAGTATAAGACTTCCCAATTTGTTTTTCTTTTTCAAATTTGTTTTTGACTGCTTGAGGCTCTTCACTTTGAAGCTTCTTCTGTCTTTCAGTTCAGCCACTCTCAAGATCAAGTCATTGTCCAAAGTGCCTATGGAGCTTCAGCCATGTGTCTATGTGTTAGGCCAACAGAGGGGAA